AGCAGAGGCTGGATTCAATCTTGCATATATATCTTTCTCCCAAGTGAGCTCCTGCCATGCTCACTGCCTCCTCTCTGTAAATCCTAGAGGTCAGGACATGGACCCCTGCGCTGGGCATGACCACCTTGTGGCAGTTACGCCTGAGCCCATGGGGCAGTAGGTTAAAGTGGAGGAAGGAATAAATAGTCACCATAGGAGACACTGACTGTGGGCTGGTTGGGACTTTCTAAGCATTTTCCACAACTATCTCATTCATTCCTCACAACATACTCATAGGAAGATTATTCTAAATTGTTTTCTCTCTTTTAAAGATGAGAAAACTGAAGTACAGAGGCATCAGGGTAAGCCACCGGCTTATAAATGGCAAGATCAGGTTTTGAAATCAGGAATTCAGTCTCTTCTGGGTGTTCACTAAAAATGAACATGAAGGCAGTGCCTGACTATTCCCAGGGGAATCCAGGCTCCCAGCCAAGAAGACCACAACTCAGGGTACCACGATCCACTGGAGATAATAACACTGAACTAATACGCAGAAGAAAAGGGCTGGAAAACCAGGTGGATTTCAACCCCAGAAAAGGGAAAGGATGAGTCACACTGCAGGCAATTGAATTTAATACCAAGCACAGGTAAGATTTACTTTAAAAAAAAATCTTTTTTAATGTGGACCATTTTAAAGTCTTTACTGAATTTGTTACAATATTGCTTCTGTTTTGTTTTGTTTTGTTTTTTTGGCCATGAGGCATGCAGGATCTCAGATTCCCAGCCAAGCATCGAATCCACACCCCCTGCATTGGAAGGTGGAGTCTTGACCACTGGACTGCGAGGGAAGTCCCAATATTTACTTTTTAAGAGAAGAAGAAAGGTGTTCCAGGCACATAAAACCATCATGTGCACATATCCTGGAAACAGGAGTATGGGGCTTAAGCTTGGCTGAAGCCCCTTCAGCCAGGGCAGAGGACACCAGGTTGGAGGGGATGAGGTGGGGGTGAGAGGAGGGAGGGGCAGACCCTGAAGAAGGGACCCTGAACGTCATGTTTAAGAGGTTCATCTTTACCCAAGAGCAAGAAGCAAGACTGGAAAAGGTGAGAAATGAGTACCTACCTCATAAAATAGTTCCTAGGACCCAGCACAGGTTTATCAGAGCAAGGCAGTAAGTGAAACACATCTTTCCAATAAGGCTTGTCAGTGCCTCTGGTCAGGGAAATTCAGGGAAATGTGTAAATAGTAACAATAATAATAACATCAATAACAACTACAAACAGCAACAAAACAAAATTCTACAAATCAGTGTAGTATAAGGTTACATGGACAGATTTGTGATCCATACTGTTTCCCCATTTATTAGTGTGGGGACACGAGCTATATTTGATCTACCTCACTGGACATGTGGTCTAAGTTGTAAAACGAGAATAATTAAAAAAACTACCTTACAGAGCTGTTGTGAGGTTAAAGAGTTAATGCATGTAAAGCATTTAGAAGAGTGACTGGTAGGTATTCAACGCTGTTACCTATTACTATTGTTATTAATAGTAACATTTATTGAGCACTTACTATGCAATAACTACACAGCGCTAAAGATTTTACATGCATTATCCAATTTAAAGATTGTGGTAGTATTAAAATATATCCACAAGGTCTTTGATAGTTCTCTTTTCGAGGCATGGAAACTGATTCCTTTCCCCCTTGAGTGCGGGCTGGACTCAGCTACCTGCTCCTAAAGAATAGAGTGTGGCAGAAGGGGAAGTGAGTCACTTCTGGAACCGTGATGAGAAGCATCACAGCTTGGTCTTTGTCTCTTGGGTCACTCTCTCTGGGGGAGGCCAGCTGGCATGTCAGGAAGAAAGATCCACACAGGGGCTCTGGCCACAATCAAGCCTGCAGGATTGTAGCCCTAGTCAGCTCCTCGACTATAGCCTGATGATCCAGAACCACGCAGCTAAGATACTCCTGGTTTCCTGACCCTCAAAGGTTGTGTGTGATAATACATGTTTGTTGTTTTTAACCTGTTAAGATCGGGTAATTTGTAACATAGAAATGGCTTCCCTGGTGGCTCAGCCAGTGAAGAATCCACCTGTAATGCGGGAGACCTGGGATCGATCTCTGGGTCGGGAAGATCCCCTGAAGAAAGGAATGGCTACCTACTCCAGTATTTTTGCCTGGAGAATTCCATAGACAGAGGAACCTGGTAGGTTATAGCCCATGGGGTCACAAACAGTCGGACACAATTGAGCAAGCAACACTTTCAACTAATACAATGATAAATATGGCAGATAACTAATATGAAGTCTCTCTTCCTATCCTTTAGAAAGATTGCAAACTCAAACCATAAATGAGCAAAGTAATCAGGGAAGGTAGCAAACCAGAGACTGCATATCTTGTGTAACAAAGGCACTTCTACCCAATTCCAGCTGATGACTACTAAGTATTTTTCAAGCGAAGCCAGAAATCTGGATATCCTGGTGAGAAATCTCCTGATTTTCAATATGAATTCAGATTTTTTGAATGCTGTGCAGACCAAACAAAACATTTGCCAGTAAGCTACTATTTTGAAATATCTGGACTTGATGCTTGAAAATTTTGGCTTAGGTGCTTACATGATCAAGTGAAATAGTAATTAAGTGAAGAACTATGTCCAAAGGGATTGATTTATGGCTCGATATCAATGAGAGAGGGGTTTCTAGGAGCAAGCAAAAAGCTCTGTCCTTAATTCCATCCCAGATACATATTTTTCCTGATAACTTAGACAAAGATAGAGAGGCTGTACACATCAAGATTTGTGACCAATAAGAGGGTGGGGGGAATTGTGATAACTCCAAAAAAGAGAAGCTTTAGTAAGAGGGGCCGGGTAAAATCTAACAAGGGGACATTTTACAGACATCAAATTGGAGACTGTGCACCTCAGCTCAGGTGCACAAGGCAGGAAGCGGAGCCAGAATGTCCTGCTATTTGTTATTCTCTCTCAGAACACCTCTACTTCCTCCATTCCCCTTCTCTTCCCAATCCAACTCTGTGAATCTTTGTGGGTGTCTGGGCTACAGAGAACACTTTGGGAACAGATAACTGCGTAGATCTGTCTCTCTCCTCTTGAGTCCCCTTTTTCTCCTCCTGCTCACCTCTATCTCCTTCCTCCCTCTCCTATTCTTCATGTAACTCTGTGAACCTCTCTGGTTGTCTCTCACGGTGGAGAATCTTTTCACCATTAACCTAGAAGTTTTATTATCAGTACTGTATAGTTGGAGAAGCCTTGAGACTATTAGAAGAATAAAACTGAAATCCAGAGGCAGGAGAATTGAGCCCAAATCCTGAGAAAACTAAAGAATTTGCCTGCAATGAGGGAGACCCAGGCTCAATCCCTGGGTCAAGAAGATCCCCTGGAGAAGCAAATGGCAACACACTACAGTATTCTTGCCTGGAGAATCCCATGGACAGAGAGCCTGGTGGGCTACAGTACATGGGGTCGCAAAAAGAGTCGGACATGACTGAGTGACTAAACAACAACAAAGAGGAATATAGTAAAATATAGTGGGTAAGGGGACTACAAGTGATCTTTTTGGTCTTATTTTCTGGGTATTTGTCACATTTATAATTTAAAGACTGTTTGAAATAAACTTCTGAAGTCCTCTTTGAAAAACAAGGGCATCAGGTTTTATGCAGTAGATGTTTCCCTGAAAAGTTATCTTAAACTGTATACGTTTATACTACTGAGGCTGGGACAGAGGGCCTAGAGTGGAAAAACCAGAAGGCAGAGGGGACCACGGCTTCCTATTCTAGTTTCTGCCATTCAGGCTACAAAGTAATTTCTCTCTTGATGGACTGTTGCAATTAATCCAACTGGAGCTCAAATGAGCATAAATTTATGTCAAAATTTACCTAACATCTACTGTTTCTATTGAGCCTCTTTGTCTTTTTAGCTTCTCTACCTTCTTTATCTTTTCCAGCTTTAACTTCTGTTTTTTAACTTAAATTTTCTCCTCTACTTTTTTCCTTTTCTTAAATCCCTCTTTAACTTCCATAAAGTATAACTTAAGACAGAAATTGTGTTTTATTCTTGAAGCAAATCAAGTTAGATTTAATTGCTATGGTCATTTACACATTTTTGGTCATGAGCTTCAAGGAAAAATAATTACCTAGTAAATCTCACTACATAATTCTAGAAAATTTATTTAAATAAGACTAAAAGAGCACACTGAATTTTAATATAAGAGACTCTATTCATCAATACACCTTTAAAAAAGTTAAAAAACAATCTAAACTGAAAGATAAATGCAACATATATTTGTGACAAAGAATTGATTATCAAGAATATATAAAGAATGCCCACAAATCAGTAAGAAAAGACAATTACAATATTAAAATAGGAAAAAGACCTGAACAGACATTTCACAGAAGAAGAAACATATGCTGATAAACACACAAAGAGCTGTTCAATCTCTTTAGTTTTCAAGGAAGTGAAAAGCAATACCATGGTATGAAATAGTTCAGTAACACAAAAACAGGATGATATGTTGTCCAGGAGTAAGTTGAATATGGCTTGTACTGGCATGCATTTCTTTCCAACTCCACATTCAGTAGTATCATGTTAGCCTGAAATTAGTCATGCTAAGAAAATTTGTTATCATTAAAATTAAAAAAAAATGCTATATAAGTGATTATTTTTTCAGAAAGCCAGCTTACCAGCACATCACTATGTTATGCATTCATGTTAAGACATGTGTAGAATGCCATAACATTATTTTTTAAAAGCAAGGGAAAAATAAACACAAAATTAAAGACAGTGGTTGGGGAAAGCTGAAGTGACACAACAGGAAAGAAGCACATGAATAGACTGAATTATTAATGTTCTACTACTTGATTAGTTCATTGAGGTTCAATACTTTTTTTTTTTTAAAGAAAAAGGTAGTTGTGCATAGGTAAACAATGATAGTGAACTAAGAAAATCATGAACTAAGGACTGTGATTTTTATCCACTTTTTTGCTCCTGATGGCCATTAATTTTTTTTTTCTGTAGTCTCTTTTATCCAACCTAAATTTTTTCAGTATAAATAAAGGATTGAGTTAGATCACTGCCAAGGTCCTCTCCAGCACTAAAATTCTCTATCAATAAATTAGGGTTCAATTTTAATTAAATTTCAACTAAAAAAAAAGTTTGAGTAACAATTTTAGTCACACCTTTTCTCCTCTTAGAAAACCAGACATCTGTTTCAGTCAAAAGCTGTTTTAAAGATCCATTCCAAGAAGGCACAAGTTGAAGGAACATCCACTAAAGTAAAACAAATAAGAAAAAAACCCCGTAAAACTTCATCATTTTGAGTTCACATTTCCAAACTGCTCTCTTAAAACATAGTATCTAAAAAATGTAATTTCCATTTTATAAGCAACTGAAAGAAGTACAACTATTACATGATATGCTCATGATAAGCCTTAAATTCATCATGGCATTAATCGTTGTCCAAAGATAAAAACTAGATGAGCATAAAAGGAATAAGCTAATACCTGAAAAATATTTATGGCTTCAAATGCACTATAGTTTTAGTATTGAAAAGGTAAATGTTCTACGTGTGTGTGTAAACACAAACATATAAAATATACTATATTATAGGGTGTAGACACAATACACACACATATATATATATATATACAGTATATAAAATTTACTAATTTATTTTACTCAATTAACAATTAAATTTCACTACATACTATGTGACGTTAAAAAAAATTAAATATGGGAAAAAGGAGTTTCTCATTGTCTAACTGCTGTTGAGACAGTATGCACAGTAATGAAGAACATGAATTTTTAAATCCTGGCCCTATCAATTAATAGAGAGGGAAATTAACTAGTTTCTCTGGGCTTTAATTTCTTCATTTGCAAGATGAGCATGATAATATGTCAACCTCACAGGACATTAGAATTAATATGGGTAACATACTTAGAGTGCCTAGCACATAGTAAGCATTCATCAATACTTATGAGAAAGAAAGAATGCTACCAGTGGCTCAGAGATAGAAATGGGCTGTCTACCTTCCTTTAATGATAGGTTACCACATTACTAAACTTCTTTGAGGAAAAATAGTAATAGACTCTCACCCAGAAGGTGACTCATTCCCAGGTTTTATGACCATATTAATGTAAACTTGGTGCTAAGGACAAAAGGCTGGCAGCAAAATCACGCAGTGGGGAAAGCAACAGACTAGAACTCACAGACCTGGGTTCTGTCTCACGTCTGCCATGTAGTAATTGTAAGAATTCTAAGTGTTACCATCTACAGAACAAAAGTAATAGCCCATTTGTCTCTTCAAAGTTGTGAAAACAAAATTATACTAAAAATGTTGAAACCTTACAAAAGGATGAAATGAGACATATGCCTTAAGTACAAAAGACCTTTAAAAGAATCTCAACATTCTCTAAAAAATGTGCGAAAAATTCATCATAAAGTTATTAATTCAACTAAAGCTCAATTCTAAAAACGTTTCTGAAAACCATATAAAATATTTAACATCTCTGATCATGTAAATAACGTGTTAATTATTGAAAAAAAAACATTTGGAAAAAAAACAGAAATGTATTCCTAGAAAAGTATAAAGAATAAAATTAAAATTACTCATGATACCAATTCCCTAAAGCCTAAAGACTTAGCATTCTGGCATATTTCCTTTTCTTGCATATATAATCACTCTCTTACCACTGGACACTAGCTGTTTTCAGTTTTTCACTATTATAAGCAATGCTGAGTGGATATCTTTACACATATCACATTATGGAAATACCTTTTTAAGGGCTGTGTATACATCCATCTCCACTTGCATCACAAATAAGTTAGATGAACCAATGAGTTGTTTCATGACATTTATACTAGAAAAGATAAAACAGAAGTAGTGAGCCTCGCTTTATACAAAAGTCAAAGACCCTGGTGGAACTGAAAGCTTTTTAAAGTCTTTTTTATCAAAAGAAAACACAGAATTAAAAAACTACATCAGTCTTTTTGCCCAAGACAAAGAATCTTAGACAAAAACAATCTATTTGAATGTAAGGATACTTATAATTCAGACTGTACGCTGCAAAAGGTTTTTTCTTTCGCTGCTGAGGAAACAAAGAGCTTGCTCTGCTGATTAATCAAGGTAAAGCAAAGTCCTAATAAGATAAGTTTTAGCATGCTCTGATAAAGTGGCAGCCTTCCCTTTCTTTTGCCTTTCCCTTTTATTCAATTAACAAAAATTCTGTCAAAATTCACTGAAGAAGATATATCTTCAAAGTAACCTTTTACCTCTAGGCTTAAGAGAATTGTTTAGTCATAAAACAAATTTTTATTTTATTAAGGGAGTAATATCAAGAAATAAGTGTTAGTGTAAATTTAGAATGGAAATGATATTACTAGCTCTTTTCTTTTTTCCCTTTCCCCCCACTACCCTCAACAAGCCAGAAGAGCATCTGAATTTTTAAGGTGACCACTATGATTTAGCTTCCTTTTGAAAAAAACCTCAGTGAGAATTATAGAAAAGAAAAAGTGTTTCTAATGACTTTGTTTATGCTTTGACATCATTTAGGTGATGATTTTCTGGTAGAATACAATACTTCTCAAATCTTTCTATCAAAGTACCCCTTAAGGGCAGATGAAAGGAAAGGACCCAGGAATCTAGGAGAAGGCTAGCCATAAAAATAACATTCCTATTAATTTTTGTACTTATAAGCCCAAAGAAACTTGAATTCTTTCTATTCCACGATGTGTTTAAACATAAAAATGTTTACTTCTCTCCTACTCCGCCCTACTCTTCTCCCCCCAAAAGTCAGCAAAACTGACAAAACCAGCAGGCCACTCAATGTTAAGCCTTTGGTTTTGTACATTTCCATAGTAACGCTATATACTCCCAGGGACATTTGTACCCCTGTTTCAGAACAGGGTACTGAACCCTGTTCTGCAACCCTGCAACCCTGAAAGTGTTTTATAGAGTTTCTGGTCTTTAAAAGTTCATTCCAACTCTGAATTTCTCAGACCCATGGCAGATATGTTAGCTCCATTATTATAAATAAGTTCAGAGAGAGCAGAGACCATGACGTAATTACTTCTGCCTCCTTCAAAGCCCTTAACAGAGCACCTCTACACATAGCAGCCATTCAGAAGCTACTTGAAGGGAGGAAGGAAGAATAAGCAAACCAGATCAGAAGCCCACCTTAACTGTGAATTTAGTTTCATCAGTCTTAGTAACACGTTTAAGACAACTTTCTCAAATGTAATTTCTGGACAATAAGAAATAGTGGTTTTTAAAATACATGTTTAGATTCTCTAAGAGTCCAGAAAAAGTGAGATAACCCTAGAGACTTTCTATAGTTTTACAGCAGCAATGAATTTTTCCATTAAAATTGATCAAAACAGTAGACATAATATGCACTATATCAAAAAAATGCATTGTATCATTTACAACAAAGGAAAGAGACTTAGATACATTTCATTAAGTTCACTTTTTCATAATATATTTTTGTTTTATACAAAAATGTCTTGCATACTTCAACAAATGAAGAACAGTATTTTGGATAATTATGAAGCTTTTTAAAATTCAAATACCTGAGTTCTTTAAAAAGTTCAACATTCTGGTGAGTCATCAAATTGTTCAGAAGCCATTCAAGGCACCTGAAATTAAAACATGGAATTATTTCATTATACATTATATATTTATGATTTATTAAGTAGGACATACAGTTAAAGTAAAAACAGAATATTAATCTTGCTAGGACATGCTCAAATATTTTAATCTAACAACTGGAAATTTAGTACTGTTTTTGTCAGCAGTTAGTAAGGGAATATTCCCTTAATATTAATAAGAGCCTTTCTAATTGAGAAAACTTCAAGTTTGTGTTAAATGGTTTATGAAGGGCCTTACATACTTCTGTTACCTTCTTTATAATTTGAAAATGGGTACTGCAATTCTCAAGAGTTAAAAACACTGCCAGTAGTTGCACTGATATACAGTCAGCCCTCGGTATCCGTGGGTTCTCTATCCGTGGATTCAACCAACCGAGAATTAAAAATATTGGAGAAAAAAATAATAACTTCAGAATGTTCCAGAAAGCAAAACTTAAATTTGTCTCAAGACAGCAACTATTTACATAGCATTTACACTGGATTTATAACTATTTACATAGCCTTTATACTGGTATTATAAATAATCCCAGAGATGATTCACTGTATACAGAAGGATGGTTATTTGAAAATACTACACTATTAAATAAGGGAGGTGAGCAAACGCAGATTCTGGTATCCACCCAGGTCCTGGAACTAATCCCCTACGGATAGTGAGGGACGACTGTAATAGCTATTATGCCTACTGCTTTAAAACATTTAATAGCAATGTACTGTAAAGAGGGATCATAGTTTTTATAAGCATGTATAACCCACCCACAGTCACAGAGACCACACTTGAGGAGTTTACTAATTAGTCCAAATATAAAAAGGAACCTTTTATAGCAAATTCTATTCTTTTTTTTTTCCTCTTTTTTTTTTTTTAATAGCTATACATTCTCGTAAGAAACCAAAGCAATCAAATTCCCAAAAGTGGAATGAGAGGAAAAACAAGTAAGGTAACTCACTTTTTCTTTACAGAGTCTAATCCATAGGTCCCTGCTGATGTGTAATAGCCACACACAGTTTTCACATTAATTGTCTCCTTCATTGTCTCACCACACTGCTGTATTAAACCATCCTGTAAATATAAATAAGCACTGGAAAGGCCCATTTCATGTGGGAAAAATTAGCTCTGAATATGTGCTTTCACGTATTAAAAAGGAAAAAAAAAAGGAAGAAAGAAAGAAAAGAAAGAAAACTATTAAGTGCAGCAAGCCTAAGTCTTTTTTGAAAGTCCAGTAAAACTTCCTAAAAAAAAAATTCAGCAAGTATTCAACTAAATACTTGAACTGAAAAATGGAAGGGAGAGGGTAAAAGCAGTAAAACAGAGATAAAAATTGCCACTCTCTTTTCTGTTCTCCTCCTCTCTGGACCTTTGCAAACTTAAGTAGCATTCTGTTCTGCCTGTTCTTTTAAAACTAAGACCTTTTACATAGTCAGATGACTATGTAATGGGCTAGGCAAGTACACAGTATGAATCACACAGTATAAACTTACATTGAAATTTTAATCTAAAATGTTTATATAGAAGATTTCAAATAGCTAATTTTATTTAATATAGGGAAAGAATTCTGTCATTTTTTACTCAAATTTCTGAGCTATATTCACCATGCAAGAGTATTACTGTTAAACAGCTAAGTCACAAAGATAATGCAGAAAGTGAATTTACTCAAATTTGTGAACTACATCTACCATGCAAGAGTATTATTGTTAAATAGCCAAGTCACACAGATAATGCAGAAAGTGAATTTAGAATAAAACTGAAAAAGGATTAAGAGTTTAAAAAGTATAATTATTGAACCTAAGTATTGAAAAGATCAAAACATTTAAAAAGTCAAATTACCTCAGCCAAAGATATTTAACAAGCTATTATTTCAAATAAATCAGTATAAAAATGCCACATAAAAAGAAACTTAGCTTTTTAAAATGATCAAAATAAAATGTTGACTCAAAATTGGGATTTTAAACTTTCCAAGATATTCTAGACTCCGCCCCTTTCAACATCCATCTGTGTCATCAGGTCTAGAGGATAATCCCTGCTTAACCTTGCCAGTATCCAGTTTTCCTCTTCATGCTTTTACCCTCATCTAGACCCTCCTGTGGATTACTGCAATAGGATTTATATTCAACTTTCCTTTCCGCTTATCCTTCACATTGATAAAGCATTCTTTCTAAAATACAACTCTGAACTTTTCAAAAGCACTTATAATATGCAAAGTGTTAACTTTTTAAAAGGTACTGAGGGACTTTTGTGATCTGGCCTCTACCTCCTTTTCTCCAACCCTTCTTCTATTCTATGCTAGATCTGTGTTCCTCTCAGATTCTCTAATGCTCCATTATTTTCTCATTTCTATATTTTAGTTTTCTGCATGAAATGCTCTTTCTTCCCCTATCTTACTTCACAAGATAAACACATTTCTAGTTTTTAAGACTCAACCTCAAACACAACTTCCTTCTTTGACACTACCAGGTTAAAGTGACCACTTTGCACATCTACTAAATGCTACAGAAAGTTTATCATCATATCTATAATATTGGACAGCTCTTACTTTACTCTTTGGGCCTATATATCAACCCTTCCTCCTTGACTCTATACACATTACATTGTGAGCTTCTTGAAGGCATAGATATCTTTATTTACCTCTGGATCTCTGTGCCTAGCTTGACACACTGCTCAATATACGTCTGTTGAATGAACAAATCTGTCATTCTACCAATAGATTATATACACTTAGGTGGTTTACACACAATTATTTCCTAAGAAAATATTTACACAGAAAGCACTCAAATGTTTTCCGAATCCATGAACTATATGAATTAATAATCAAATCATAAGCCACTTGCTTCATAATAGTCAAGGAAGTCATTAATGCACAGAAAGAAGTGAAAGTTGCTCAGTCATGTCTGACTCTTAGAGACCCCATGGGCTATATAACCCACGCAATTCTCCAGGCCAGAATACTGGAGTTGGTAGCCATTCCCTTCACCAGGGGATCTTCCCAACCCAGGGACTAAACAAGTCTCCTGCACTGCAGGTGGATTCTTTACCCCCGGAGCCACCAGGGAAGCCCCATTAATGCATAGAAATCTATAAATGGATTTAGACAAGTATATTTGTTCCACATTATAGTCATTCTAAGATCTTTACATACAAACAGCCTGCATTCATTTTATACAAGTATCAAGACCCTCCTCATTTGTAGTAAAGTTTTTGGTTAAACATTTTAAATGACTTATCACAAAAGAAGTATTTATATATTTATTTTAAAAATTATAAAAAGCTAGGTTTTACTGTTTTTGGAAGGGATACCTTGAAACAAAGACACAAGTGTTACTCTTTTTTGAGTAATATGCATACTTACCAATTGCAGCATACAAGCTGCTGCCAAAATGGCAATGACTCGACTTGGCTTTATTAAGACATCGTCTCGATATAATGACCCAAATGCCACCTGAAGTGCTGAAATCAAAATACACAGATAGAACGAAATAACAATTTTAGCTGTAAGAATATTACAAGAATAAGGACAGTCTTTATACACTAAGACATATGTCTAAATCTAGTATAAAAGGATAAGATGATTATCACTAATAAAACTACTAATAATGGTTATGGACTGATGATACTTTAATAACAATGTTATACATTTCCATCAATTCTATCAAATCATGCTGGATTCTCCTACATCTAACCTTGTTATCAGTTAGTGGTCAGAATTAAGACACCCTTAGAAAGAGTTTTATGACGATATCCCCGAGTAGATCAATCATTAAGTACAACTACACAGACCAAATGACAATCTTAACCCGTGTTTCAGTGCTTCACTGCAGAGCATGGGATCCTGGTCCTGTGAGTGAGTGCTCAGCTGTGTCCAACTCCTTGTGACACCATGGACTGTAACCAGTCAGGTGGTCGTCTATCCATGGGATTTTCCTGGCAAGAGTACTGGAGAGTGTTGCCATTTCCTCCTCCAGGGGATCTTCCTGACCCAGGAATTGAACCTGCATCTCCTGCGTATCCTGCCACCACAGCTATTTGAACCTGTCCATCCTTTTCTCTACTGCCATTCTCATGTGTGTCCTGCAAGGTTTGCTTTATAAATATTCTTTGCCTATGAGGTCATACTGGGTGCCACCACTTCAGTTTTCAAAGAGAGAAGCGGGAGCAGCAGGATAGGAGTTAGAACTATAGTCTGATCCTACCTCACTAAGCTGCTCTGAGACCTAAATTAAGTCTCTTAAATCCTCCTGGCCTCAGCTTCCTTATCTAAAGACCATTATAACTCTAAAACAATACTGACTACCTGATACATCTACTTGTTCCCAGAAAAGATCTTTATGTATAGGGAATAATCAATGAATACTGTTTACTGGCTTACTGTTTATTGGTCATACTTCTCCTTTCTTCACTCTGCATCCTCTATATCCCAGGCAAATATATTTTTAAACATGAAGGAAACAGATTGATAAAGCTGACACGACAAAATAAGATTAGAGATATACAGAACAGAATTGATAAAGTATAGAGTAAATCAATAAAAAATTGTCACTGTGGAGTGTTAAAAGGAGCTTTTTTCCTAGTTAACAAGGTTAGAAGAAAATATTTTCTGCCAAAAGGACAAAAAGGTTATTTTTTTTAATCATTTTTACATAATAGTAATTATGGTGGCAGTTACCTTCTATATCAATATTCTGGTCAGGAATCTCCAGTTCAATGGTATTCATGCTGGATTCTTTCCAAGAACCACTGAACATACTAGAAAAGTAGCCAGACTTAACAAAATGAAAAAGAAATTATGATAAAGACACTATTAGGCTTATCAAAATACTATGTTTTTAATTAAAGAAAACTAAATTCTCATATTACTATCTGAACTGAATTCTTATTTACTACTTGAACCAACTAAGCTTTTCACTAAGTGGAACAATTTCTGAGTATATTACATATATATGTTTTCCTTTTCAATAGTATTCTAAATTCAAGCATAGAAATTATATATTTAAGTATCTCATAAACATACGACTGCACACAAGATGGATATAAAATAATACAAGGAAGAGAGAAAAGAAACTAAAAACTGTTGAGTCCTTAGCCTATCCTCTTCCCCTAACTTTCCATTTTTGTCAACACAAGGCACTAAAACAAGTACCTCACTGGAATGACAAAAACATACTCCTAGGTTGGTATGACAATGAAAACTCAAAATCTGTTTCCTAGACCAAACTAAGTTTTCACTAACAATATTCACAGTGTATCTCTTAAAGAATGAGACTTTCCATCAGACAGGACAAATATTCATGCAAAAGACTACTGTGAAATACAATGAGAAAGAACAAGACTTAAAAGAATGAGTTGTTTTAAGCGACTACCTTGGCTACTCAAAGAGAAAAATAAAATACTTACTTGACATAAATATATTTTGTGTAAGCTCCATTCTTCTCCTAGAGCACAAATTTTAATGTCACTGTTTTCACCATTTAAAAATAATGTTTGATAAATATATTTGGACGTACTCTTCAGTTTTTTCCTGTTAAAAGAAATGCAAACATTATATATGTGTAATACTGAGTATTTTACTTATTTTGCATGTAACTCTAAATACTCCTTTTGCTCAATTTCTATTAAATAGAACCAATCTGCCCACGGAGTAAAAAGATAGAGATATTATACATTCAAATATGCTTATGTATGGAAGGGCACATAAAAAACTAATAATAGTGGTGATCTCTGGAGTAGTCTTCCCAAGAGGAGCAACAGTGGATAGAGGGGGGGTGGGGTGAGAGGGAAACCTTTCACTATACAGCTTTTTGCAATTTTTGATTTTTGAATTAAGTCAATTACCTATTCAATAAAGATAAATCAGCATGATGATTTTGCTTATTTCCTTGTCTAGAAATCAGCACTATGGACAATGTCAATATAGTTGCAATAACACTGCAACTACAAAATGAAGAACAAGACCTACCCAAGTATTTTAAAAGTAATTTACATTTGATCTTACTTTAGTACCAAACAACTTTTTAAAAATGTAATTTACTTTTATTTTTGGTGTGCTTGGTCTTCATTGCTGTGCAGGCTTTTCTTTAGTTGCGGCAAGCAGGGGCTACTTTCCGGTTATAGCGTGCGAGTTTCTTATTGTGGTGTCTTCTCTCATTGTGGACAATGGACTCTAGGACATGCAGACTTCAGTAGATGCAGCTCTGGGGCTCTAGAGCAAAGACTCAGTTGTGGAGGCGCATGGGCTTAGCTACTCTGTGGCATGTGGAATCTTTCCAGACCAGGGACCGAACCCATGTCTCCTGCATTGGCAGGTGGATTCTTTATCATTTAGCCACCAGGGAAGCCCCCGAACTATTCTTAAACTCCTAAAAATGTGTTTTTCCCTAAATCAGACAAATGGTTCACAGCCTCAGACCAAAGGTTTTCAAAACTATGCTCAATGGAGCAGTGTCTTAGGCTTTACAAAGGACAGTGAGGAGTGAACTCTGGGTATCCCATCTAACCTCAACCAGAACAGCATCACATATTATTATGCATCTGTAAATATCCTGGATTTGTGCATAAGATTTAATTTAAAGGAAGAACTGTGTAATTTTTGTTTTGACAATCTGTGATCAAGATGGTCCATCCAGTAGGTGAGGAAACCCCTAGGCAGAGGTTGCTCAATATTTTTTATACTCCTGGCCAATTCTGACAGCTTTCCTAGTAAAACTTTTAAATGTTAAAAGAAAAAAATCATTAATCATTGATTATTAATGAAAATGTAAAATTAATGATTGATTTTTTATTAAATGTTTAAAAAAATCAGTAATCATTCTGACGGCATCTTAAATCTGTGTATTGAATACCTCTTCCCAACAGACAATAAAAATTGCACATGCTTTGGTGGTAGACAGACTTGGCTTTGAGTCCCAGCTCTATCACAGCTCAGTTACCTTACATGTGACAAAAGGGTATAAATACTCACTTCATTGGGTTACTGTAAGAGATAAATGAGACAAGTAGTCTCCAGTTCCTAAAAGCACTCTCTCTAGATTATATGAAGGTTAAAAGTGCAGAAAGGAATAAACCCACAACAGGAATAAGGTGAGGTTGGGCTTATCACGTGATGAGAAAATTCCATGGATCTGGAAGTTAGAAAACAAACTGGAATGGAAAAGAGCAGTGAAAGCCACAGCCCAAAATTTATCAGGATCTAGAATGGAGGGTGAAGCCCTTCAGAACTGTGGGGTGGGGATGGGGCTGGGAGGACGAGATGTCAAGAGAAAAAGAAGGCAGAAATGAGGCAGAAAATGGGGAAACTTGTTCCCTAATGACCTCCACCACTATGAACACAGAGTATAGATAACTCCTGCAAACAGAATCCAAGGTTTTTCTAGAAAGAAACAGAATATATTTATCAGGAAGAATTAAGACTTTGGTGTAGGTGTTGGAGCCTCATCCTGGCATTTGAGCAATCTGTAACCTGTTACTTACCAACCTATTCACCAGGATTTAATCCTGGTTCCCAAACAGTGTACCAAAGCACCTGGAGCACCACAGCAAACTCAGGGAGGCATGTGAAATATTCCAAACTTAAAGGAAATCACAGCAACATCATTCAGATACTATGTGATCTACACTATTAACTTGTTTGGACCTGACTATTAAATATTTCTTTAGGCCAGAGGTGCCAAGAAAAACATTACTGAGACACCAAGGGTACTGTGAACCAGTAACGTTTAGGAATCTCTGTTCTGAAAAAGAGCATGCTGCACCCATATACAACCATATACAACTTAGTAGGCAATCTTCCTACTCAAAGGGGAGGCTCAGTAGTAATAAATCTATTTATTCAACACACACACACACACACAAGCTACCCATTCTGAGGCAGACAACCAAGGATCTCCCAACATGAGGAAAATTAGGAGTATTAAAGACTATTTTTAAAAAGAGAGAATTTGGCATCAGAGGAAATGTATAATTCAGGGGAAGGAGAACTTAAAAAAAAAAAACCCAATACTTTAATTATAACTAGCACACCTACAGAGTTGAGATTTTTTGTTGTTGCCGCTCAGTCAAGTCCAACTCTTTGAGACCCAAGGACTGTAGCACGCCAGGCTTCCTTGTCCTTCATCATCTTGTGGAGCTTGCTCAAACTCATGTCCATCTCATTGGTGATGACATCCAACCATCTCATCCTCTGTCGACCCCTTCTCCTCCTGCCTTCAATCTTTCCCAGCAACAAGGTCTTTTTCTAATGAGTTGGCTCTCTGCATCAGGTGGCCAAAGTACTGGAGCTTCAGTTTCAGCACCACCAATCGAAAGCATCAATTCTTTGGTGCTCAGTCTTCTTTATAGCCCAACTCTCACATCCATACATGACTAATGAAAAAACCATAGCTTTGACTAGATGGACCTTTGTCAGCAAAGTAATGTCCCTACTTTTTAATACACTGCCTAGGTTTGTCATAGCTTTTCTTCCAAGGAGCAAGTATCTTTTAATTTCATGGCTGCAGTCACCATCTGCAGTGATTTTGGAGCTCAAGAAAATAAAGTCTGTCACTGTCTATTGTATCCCCATCTGTTTGCTATGAGAGTTGAGATTATTACATTTATAAAATAGGATGCTATGATAAAGGATGACTCAGAAGAAGAGGGAGAAAAGAGCTCTCAGGACCAAAAACATGGTTGCTGAAATTAAAAAAAAAAAAGGAAAGACAAAGTTAAAGAAAATTTCCTAGAACATAAAGCAAAAAGGACCTAGAAAGAAAAAAAAGAGAAAGAGGTGCAGTCCAAGAGATCCAAAATTCAGTTAAGAGGGGTCCAAGAAAGAAAAAACAAAGATAATAGAAGAAAGGGATTTACAGAAGAAACTTTCCCCAAAGCAGTCTTTAGACTGTAAGGATCCACAAAGCACCAAGGCCATTAAAAGACCTATACTTAAGCATCTTCTAAATTCCAAAATACCAAAGAAAAACTTCCAAAAGCTCCAGAGAGAAAAAAAAGTCACCTAAAAAGAAAAGAGAATTAGACCAGTATCATATGAATAAATACCATCGGAGATATAAAAAGTTATTTCAGATTAGACTTCTATACCGAGTCAAAAGATGACTAAAGTGAGAGACTAAATTTACAACTAGGTAAGCACAAATTACCTTCTTTAGCAATTTTCTTAGGAAAATATAGGATGTAGTTCCCTCAGAGAGTTCAGAAAAGACATAAGCTACAGAAAACAGGATCTAATCCTACAGACACGGTCAAAGTCTGTCCAACATAAGTGTTATCTTGGGACAAGATAAGTGTTGACCTAGCGGGCAATGAATCCAGATTGGAACAGGAGGATGAAGGTACCTGAGAGGGAGGTTGGGTTTAAATAAGACGGACTCCATTCAAGTATGTTCGGAAAGAGAAAAATCTGAAGACAGGATGAAGGAATATTATTTTTTTGAATATTATTATTATTTTGAATATTATTATGGTGGGGGTGGAAGCCAGTCAGAGAAGTCTAGGAAAATAAAAAAGCAACACACACACAAAAAAGAGTACTGTTTTAATAAGCTACAAATGAAAACAGGGTCCGAATTTAAACACTTAATGGAATGTTAAAAAAAAAAAAGAAAAAAGATTCAATTTAATTATCAGGTTAGAAGATTTCTCCCAAGAGGAAAACAAGTGGTTGTGACTTTGGACCCAGGAAGTACGATTTATAATCCTAGCACACTACGTGACTCTGCGGTGAACAACATTTACATAGCTCTAACAACAAATAACTGTTCACTAGATTTCCATTTTGAGACACTCTATAGACAAGAAACTAAAGATCTGGTTGCAGAACAGCTGAATTTTAAGTCTTGTTAATGTAAAATTAAAACATGAACTTGACAAAAGGTATTAGGTAGAAAGTGGGCCTGGAGACCAAAGCTTTTCATGGAGTGGTGGCTGAGGTAGAAGTGCACACGAGACAACCTCAGGAAGCGTATCATCGACAACTCACAAAATTCCTGATCTTAAAATTTTCTTACACCCTTTGTCCATGCTGAGCTGAATAAACTAGGCATCTTATGCTGGTATACTAGTATAACACACTAGATTCTGATATACACTTCCTAATAAAGATTTGCTTTATTAGATTTTCCATTCCACTCTACTCACATAACCTGGGGGTCGGCAAACTTTTTCTATAAAGGTCTAGACGGTAAATATTTTCAGTTTTGTGAGCCAGACAGCCTTCAGGCTAGTTTTGATGGCATGCCAGTGGGTGGTTTCTTGCTAGCCAGTCTCAGCCTTCCACAACTTAGCAAACTTTTCTACCATCTAGAGGGCCACAACTCCTTTAACATTTGAATCTCAGCTTGGAAAAGGTGTCCCTATTCCAAATTTGTTTCTTCCCTGGATAGTCTGTCTCAGCCCTAGAAGTAGTGACTGCTCCCTGTGTCCTCTATTCTTGTATTTTTCAGAGATCTCTTTACTTCAATAATGGTTATATTAAATTTTCTTTCTTTAATTTCTTTCAAATTAATTAATTTCTTTCAAACGGACCCCGACACATATATTTCTATGTGTGTGTGTTAGACGCTTAGTTGTGTCCAATTCTTTGCAACTCTGCAGACTGTAGCCTGGCAGGCTTCTCTGTCCATGGAATTCTCAGGCAAGAATACTGGAGTGGGTAGCCATTCCCTTCCTGACCCTGGGATAGAACCCAGGTCTCCTGCATCGCAGGCAGATTCTTTACATCTGAGCCATCAGGGAAGTCCCATATATTTTTATAGTGACATTAAATACAGTGGTCTAAATACTAATTGAAAGGCAGAGATTATCCTATTGGATTTTTTCAAAAACAAGATTCAACTAAATGCTGTCTACAAAATACTACTTTAAGACACAGGTTAAAAGGGAATCAAAACAAAGTGGTACTGGCTATAGTAATACGGATGTAAATATCTTTATATTTTGTAAAGATAAGGGGAGCCGATTCATCAAGGAGACATAATATTTACTGACTGCTTCCATACCAGGCACTGTGCATTGTATTAGCATCTCCATTTTAGTCATGAGGAAATAAAGCTATTAAAAGCAAAACACAGCCTAGAACTCAGAACTTGAGCTCGTAAAACTATACTGCACTAATTCTCCAAAAAGGGAACTGAACAGTTTGACAGTCGGGTCCATTTTTGTAAATATAAACATAAAACTGTATGAAAGGATTTAGAAATCAAATTACTTAGAGGTTATTATGATACTCTTATTTTACAATAAACATGTAACGTGTAGCATAAAATTTTACACTCTTTTAAAGTTTCCTTTAAAAAAATTACATCTATGTGACCCACTGATGGCCTTAAAAAAAGGTAGCAACGAGACTGTTTATGTGAAAATATATTCAACTTACAAAGGACATTTTAGCTCCCAAGTAAATACTCCGTTTTTCAACTCTTCTAAAAAAAAGGTTAAGCAAGCTGCTTTACACTTGGTCAACGACTCTGAGTGCTAGAGACGCTGAAAAGACTCTGTTGCTATTGAGGAACAAATGTACACATTACTGATAAATTTCACCTTTATAGTTAAAAAGAGCCCCTGTATGTAATCATTTCCCTTTCGCTGAGGGACAACAGGGCTGCCCATTTCAGGGCCTGAATGTACGTGTCTCGTACTATTCAAGGCAGCCGGATGCAAAACAACTTAATTCTACTGTCACCCACTCAAGAGAGGACCAAGGTGTATTACGGAAGGCCGGCCGGCTGGCTCTGTCTAAGGTTTAACGAGGCGCAAGCCTTGGCTTGGCGTTTCTCAGTCTCATCTTGGGGCGGTAGCACCACCCTGGCGGCGTCTGCGGTTTACAAGCCAGACCACGGGGCGTCTCCCCAGGTGCACCCCATCCGGCCCGCCTCGGACCGACTCTTAGGTCTACCCAGTCAAGGGCACGTCCGGCTCTTCACAGGCTGGGGAGCGCCGCAGCCCCCGAAGCCCCCAGGGCTCATCCCCAGGCCGGGCCGCGGAAGCCGCCCAACAGGTGCGAGAGCGGACAGTGCGGGCGTGTCCCCCTCCCCGCCCCGTACCTTCGAGGGGTGTTGAGGAGCCGCTGCTGCTCGTCCCCTTCCTCTTCATCCTCGTCGGTCTCGGAATCGGGGTTACAGTAGCAGAAGGCCCCGCTGTTCCGCTTGCGCTTGTGACTACCCGGACAGTAACAGAAGCCATGGCCGGGCGCGTCGCCACCAGTCTCCGGCCTCCGGGCGGAGCCCCCAGCCCCAGAAGCCGGCTCCTGCTGGGCTCGGGCTCGCCCTGGGTGGCGCAGCACCCGGCTGCTCAGCGAGCCCATGGGTCACGGCTCCCCGAGACGGCAGGGAGCGCACCTCAGGGAGCCCAACACAGACGGTCTCCCGCCATGGCCCGGCCACCACCGCCAGTCTCCACAGAGCCCGAGTTGCCTACACAGCCACCTTCTCACGCGCGGCCACGACCGTTGCCGTGGACACCACAGCCTCCATCCTCCGCCCCGGCCGCCGCGTCTGGCCGCCACTCGCGCGAACCGCAAGACCTCACCCCCTAGCTTTTGCAACAAAGCGCGGAACGTAGGACGCATGCGCACGGCGAGCCTCCGGAAGGGGCGGGGGAAAGCGCGCGTACGGCACAGGTGGAGCCTGCGCAGAATGGGTTGAGGGCGGGAACCGGGCTGCGCGTGTGCTGTCCCCGGGATATTCACACTGAGCTTGGCTGATCTCTCCAACAATCCTGAGTTGGAAGCAGAACTGCCGTTTAGCTTTAGTTTGGACATCACTTTGTGTTAGCAAGACTGGCAATTCTAGCTTATTCGTTCTTTCTGCAAAGATTCCCTAAACTCCAGATGTCTTCTGGGCCCTGTGACCGGCACGGGGCAAAAAAGACATTGCTGTTTGGGGGTCTTTTTTGGAGGAGCTCACCATGTGTGAGCTTGGCGGTGCAGAGTCCGACACGACTGAGCGACTGAACACCAACCATGTGCGAGGGTCACGCCCTGCTCAGGCTTTCCAGGAGAGGAGGACCTCGAATGTGGAGCTTTGCTAAGCCCTTGGGTTTTTGTGCATGTGTGTTTTATTTTTTAATGTTTTTTTAAATCGAAGGATAATTGGTTTACAGAATTTTGTTGTTTTCTGCCAAATATCAACATGAATCAACCATCGGTATGCATATGTCCCTTCCCAGCCCTTGGATTCGTTAAGGGGCACCTCTCGCCTGCTCTTAACTGATTACGGCGAGTCATTCCCAGGACTCTTTTCCTTCCCTCCCAGCGGCAGTGGGATGTCTGAATAGGCTTCATACCGGGCCTGTCAAGGTTTCAAGTGCCTTCTGGAGGTCCAAGCAAAACTTACAGGTGCTGAGCAAAAATTAAAGTTGTATACGTGGAGTATGCAGCCATTGCTATGGACCCTGGGCAGTCAGCTTTCATTCTCTGATTACCTTCTGCTAGTTTTTAAATGAAATGTTTATGACAGTGAAAGTGAAAGTCTCTCCGTTGTGACTCTTCGAGACCCCCTTGGAATTCTCCAGGCCAGAATACTGGAGCGGGTATCCTTTCCCTTCTCCAGTGGATCTTCTCAACCCAGGGATCAAACCCAGGTCTCTAGCATTGCAGGCAAATTCTTTACTGGCTGAGCCACAAGGGAAGCCCTTATAATGACAGTATTTATAATGAAATATAAATGGAATACTTGAAATGAATTACTCTAATATGATAAATACCTATGGACTCACCACAAATATAACTTAAATTTTAGTAAAAACTTCAGTATATTATACTAGCTTTGATTCATTCAAGTAGAACAATACAGATAGGCAGAAACTCCCTTCCCTCTACACTATCCTCAGAATGGTTAGATCATTATTCCCATGCATGTTTTTATATGTGTACCCATAGCAATATATTTTCTTTTGCGTGTTTAGACATGTAATTAAATGGAATCATTCATACCTATCATTCTGCACCCTTCTTCTCTCTCAAAATTATACTTTTGAGACTTAATCAGTTGACAAATCTCTAGTTAATTTTCACTACTCATTTTGTGACTAACCCAAAATTTATCTTTTCCTTCACTGAGGGAGTTAGGTTGTTTCTACTTTAATGTACATAAGAGCAGCAGCAGTGAATACCATGTGCAGAGATTCACTAAATAGATCCCCAGAAGTGTTTGCTGGGAACTTTATATAACTTTATTATCTATTGCCAAATTACTCTCTGAAATGATTGCACTAGTTTATACTCCCATCATGGTATATGTAACTTAGGGCCCCAGTGTACTCACTCAGAAATATGAACTGAGAGAGGCTGGCTGAGGTAGCTTGGAAGGGAAATGTGGAGGGGAAGAGCAGATCCCCTGCTGCACCGCCAGAATACCTTTTGTCAGCACAAAAGGATACACATGGAACAGTTGTGAGCCACTATAAGACAGCAAGCATGGGATCCTGTCTAAAAGGACTGGGTGGCATGACAGACTTTGGCACAGAGCCTGAGTTTCTAGGGGCTGAAAAAAGGAGAACTGCATTTGCTTGTGAAAGGAACCAAAGATGAGTAGTTTATTGATGATGGACTTGTAAAGGAATGCAGGATTGTCTTTAAGAATTAGCCTTTAAACATCTGATAGCATCACACAACACTGATCATCTATCATCGCAGCACTAGCAGGTAAAAAGTTTCCTGTTCCCCTTTCCTCTTCTCCTTCCTGCTAGGTTGGGGAGGGGAGGTTTAGAAGGAAGCCAAGGTGAAAAAAGAAGCCTACTGTCTCCAAATGCCAGCTTCCTGCTGGCAATAAACCAGAGCTGAACAAGGGGAGAAGCCTCAGCTGTAAATGAAGTTTGGAATTTTAACTGAAAACATTCATTACTGAAATGATATTTTATGACCTGCACAGTACGACTTTTTAAAACCTAAGAATGACCAGAAAAGTCACAACCTTATCCTCTATCTAGAATTTTCATCTAAAGACAGGAGAAGAACTAGACCCAATGAATAAACGTAAATGGATAGTGGGAGAAAAAAACTAAGTTGCTTCCTAAGTATATTACAAAGTCGTGCTTATTCAACTTAACAATCATTCCCTCCAGGGTGGCTTTACCGCCTCTCTAGAAAGTTTCTCATCAACATATACAATTTGTTTTAAAATTCTGGCTAAGGCATATATTGGGTTGGCCAAAAGTCCATTCAAGTATTTCTGTAACATCTTATGGAAAAACCTGAATGGACTCTTTTGGTCAACCAATGTAATTTAAACATAAAATCACCAAAAATTTGGAGTGCTTCCAAAGCTAAATAAAGTTGACCTGGAGATTGCATGCTTTTCTAGGTAGGAATCGAAGCAGCAGTACTATTTCCTACAATTAACTGCAATGACTAAATATTCATGTAAATAGCTTTCACCAATAGTCAAGCACTTGCAGTAGGCAAGAAGAAACAAATCCCTATATTTCACCCATCAAAATACAACAGATATTACAGAATGAACAAAGAAGACAAATATTTTTATTCACTATGAATGGTCTACTTAGTAGAACTGAGAGCATCACTCATTTCCAGAGATAAATTAAATATACTATTTTCTATCATTAAGTAGAGTTTGGTATATGTGAACATTAATTTTACAGCTGTAAGGGTAAATATGTTATTTTCCTTAATGCTGTACTTTCTAATAGAAATTGAGTAATATAAATCCTTCAAAAAGATCTCACTTCAGAATCCAGGATGAAAAAACTCACAGGCAGAAAAGTCAATCAGGGAAAACATATACCTCATTTGAAATGCACCATATTTTATTGGAATTATTTTTCTGTGTTGTATGCAAACTGAACTTTTAAATTAAATCCAAGTACACCTTTACAATAATTCTAGAGTTGAAAGGCACAGTGCAAGTCAACAAAATGCAAGTATTCAAATCAACAAAATTAAAAATGATTTTAAAAATTATTTTTAGCACAAAAATGTGTAAATTCAGAGCACTACACCATCACCAGAATATGTAGTTTGACACTTAATTTTTTCACATTCATCTTCAAGCTGGCTTTAAGACCATTATTATTATATTATTATTATTATTAACCCTAATATTGTGGAATGTCCAGCATTTATGTTTGGTAGTCAGACATATATGATCTGTATAACCACACAGAGTTGAATTTATTCAGACAAGTCAGTGAGTTTGTTATACTTCAACCTGGAGAGTCTAAGTGACCTTAATGTAAGATGTGATGGAGCGAGTCTCCAATGCTGAACTTAGTACTAAGATCAACTAGCACTTTAGATGAAAACCTAAACAAAGCAGATGTGTAGATGCTTTCAAACAATTACTGTAAAATAGCAAACTGGATAGATATTCTTACTAACTAGATGCTGACAATTTCAAATCAAGAAATTACTAGCCACTCTAACAATAGAATGAGGGAATAAAAGAGGTTTTAGAACAGTCTTCCGGTCTTCCACTTCAATAGTTTTCACCAAAAAGAGAATATGAAATAATGTAATATAGCCCAATTTCTGTGAAACAGAAACAGGAAGAGATCTGTTGAAAACATGGAGCACATTCTTATTTCTAATTTGAAATCTCCTTTTAGGTTTTATGAGCTTTGAAATGCAAGTACAGCTTTAAAGCATCATAGTGGGTAATTATAGATGAATAATAATACAGGCTATATCCTAGGAGGCATCTGTAGGCGTTTTAATTGGAAATAAGCATTCTGAGATAATGCTAATAGCAGTGTAGAAAAATTAAGTTAAAAAGAATTCAAAGTGTAGGGAATCTTCCTGTGCTTTCTGGATTTTATTTTAATCATCTCCTCCACAGAGAATGAGCAGCACCTTCCTGTAGTCTCCGGATGTGTCACCCTGGTGGTGGAGGGGGCAAGAAAAGCAGAGTTCAGTCAGAGAAACGGGCTTCAAAATAGAATATACAGCTCAAAGTTACCTAGGTTACCTTTTCCAATCTTGCCTGGATTTTTCTAGAAGTGTTTTTTGTTTTGTTTTTTTATTTTTAAATGACATTTGTTATTTTTTATTACAAAAAGAACACTTGTTCAATGTAGAAAATAAAGACATAAAAGAATATAAAGATCATCCATAATTCCAACATCTAGAGATTACTATGCCTAACATTTTGGTTTTTGTATATCCTTCCTGACTTTTTTCTATGCATACAGATTCCTACATGATGAGATTGTAGTATTCGTCTGTATTCTGCTTTTTACTTAATATTGCTGATCTCCTATTATTAAATATTCCTCCACAACATCATTCCTTAATGGTTACAGAGTATTCCATTTTACATAGGTAAAATAATTTATTTGATCTCCCCCCATTGGATATTTATGTTGTTTCCAATTTTTCACTATTAAAAACACTGCTGTAATAAACATACATTTTTGTGCATTTTCTTAATGATTTATTCAGAATAAATTTTCATAAAATGGGAATTGCCAGATCAATGATCATGCATTTTCTTTTAATATGGTTTGCAAAACAGCCTTCTAGAAAGAAGAAATAATTTTTATGTAGAATTTTTCATGGTCTAAATAATAGATCAGTTTTTGTTAGTGCTTCATGGGTGACTAGAAAAGATGGAATTGGATTCAAAGTTTAATGTATATTATTCAAATCAACCTTAATACACTCTTGTTGATACTTTGCCTCATTGATCTGTCAAAAGATAAGGATGTGTTAAACATATCCAGCAAAGTATCCCCATCAACATTCTTCTGAAGTCTCAAGTTTCTTATTTGTATATTTGAATGCAATACTGTTTGGCACCTAAAGTTTCATGGTAATTTAATCTTGGTTGTAACATGTAGCTTTTATCAAAATACAGTGATCCACTTTTTCTCTGTTTAATGCTTTTCCCCCTTAAATTCTTTTTTTTTTCTTTCTGGCCATGCTGCACAACATGTGGGATCCCAACTAGGGACTGAACTTGTGCCCCTTGCATCGGGAGCCGAGAGTCTTAACCACTGGACTGCCAGGGAAGTCCTGAATTCTTCTTTTTACTTATAGTATAACCCCTGCTTTCCTTTTATTTGTCTAACGTTCTTTTCCCTGGCTTTTTCTTTTAAAGCTTCTTACATATCACTGTATTTCAGTTGTTCTTTATAAACAGTATGCAGTAGGATTTTGTATTTTTACCTAATCTGGGAGTTTATTTATTATCATAACTTATGTTTCTAACCTCACTTCTGTCTTTTTTCTATTATTTACATATTTTCTATTTCTATCCTGCTCCTTTTGGCAATTGTTATTGAATGGGCCATGTAGTCTTTATTTTTAGACTTTCCAGTGTTGTATGATATGAGTGTGTGTAAACACATATATTTGCATATTTATACATATACAAACAGATAATGTAAATATATTTGTTGAGCTGTTTCCGCAAGTCAATATTTTTTACCCCATCATTTTAGGGTCTGTGTAGTATTTCATTGTATAGATTTTCCATAATTTCAGTCATCCCCTATTGGTTAATAAAAATGAAAATAATATGTAATAAACTCTGTAACCACTAAGTTAAGAATTTCCTGTTCCCCTCTTTCTCCAGCCCCTTATAACCTCTAGTGTACTTTTGGTCTCTATGAATTTACCTAGTCTAAATATTTCATGTAAGTAGAATCATATACAGTATTTGTCCTTTTGTGTCTGGTTTATTTCACTTAGCATGTTTCCAGAGTTCATCCATGTATCAGAAACTTCATTCATTTTATGTATGTATCTACCACACTGTAAACATTCATCTGTTAATGGACCCTTAGGTTGTTTTCACTTTTTGGTTATTATGAATAATGTTTACATTGGTGTACAACCTCGTTTTTATTTCTTTTGAGTATATACTTGGGATTGGAATTGCTGGGTCATGTGGTAATTCTATGTTTAATTACTTAAGGAAGTACCAAACTGTTTTCCACAGTGGCTGCACCATTTTACATTCACACCAGCAATACACAAGGTTCCAATTTGTCCACGTTGTCACCAACTTTTGTTATTTTCCATTTTTGTTTTAATTTTAGCCATCTTAGTAGGTATGAAGATAGTCAAACCCTCTGTGATTTTTTAATTGGATTGTTTGTCTCTTTGCTATTGAGCTGTAGGAGTTCTTTATATATTCTGGATAGTAAACTCTTACTAGATATGATTTGTAAATATTTTCTCTCACTCTGTGCATTAGTGCACCTTTACCTTATTATTTCCCCTAAAGAAATTCCTAAACACTAACAATAGCTACATAAGAGGTATAGTTTATTTTTTAAACATTTATTGCCAAATTGCCTCCTAGGAAAGTTAGACTAGTTTACAGTGCTTCTGTAATAGCTGGTGAGTTTTCCCCAAGCCTTTCTCAATGCTGGTTATGAGCTCTTTAAACTTTGTTAAGGTATTTAGTGAAAAATGATGATCCATTCTTATTTGTAATCTATTATGTATTAGTGAAATTAAACATTCTCCATATTTAGTGTCCATTTTGTGTTTCATCTTTCATTGAGTGCATGTTTTCTTTTCGTCCAGGTTTTCCTTTTGGATTTTTTTCCCCTTTTTCTTAGTGATTTGTACAAGCTCTTCAGATAGGGATATTAACCCTATATTATATGTTACAAATATTTTCCCATAGCTTCATTTACAGTCATCCTTGAATCTTAAAATTGTTTTACTTACAGCTAGCTATATTTCAGCACTGCAAAATAAAATGACCTCACAGATTGTACAGAAATAGAAACAACTTTCTGAATGCCTTGTAGACATAGTTACAGACTCTGCAGTTCAAATCACCCAGTAGCTACACCTCTCCAAGCTATGAGTAGGATTCAGAATATTTAATTCACAGATCAAATCCTGACTTGACATTTACTGTGCTGGGAACACCAGCTTCTAGGGACATAAGTCTTGGTTTCATATCCTTGGCTTCATATTTCATGTTCCTTCTGGTTTCCTCAAAGAGCAAAATTGCAGTAATGAGGGGTTTTGAGCAATGTCAACCATTTCTCATTACTCCCCATGCCATGTTAGGATGGGAAGTCTGGTGCCAGGTAAAGAACAGCAATTGAGGACAACTGTCGTGTTTTCCCTTATTTTCAGCAGACCTCGGCTGCCCCACGATGGGGTTCTGGATGACTGATTTAATAGCTTACCTTTTATTGTAAGCAGGTAGAAATGGAAATTGTGCTCTTAAAACCACTCATTAAAATATAATCTTTCTCTGTCTGGGATCCACATGAAATAATTACTATATTTAGAAGGCAAATATTTTCAACTTCTAACCAGGCAGAGATTTAAACATCCATGTGAAAGGAGACAGACTGGAAATATTTGAGAGTACCACTTTAAAGGGAAGGATATCTGACAAGAAGGAGATGATAGGAAGTGTCTAAATACCTAGGTCAGAACCTGCTCCTTTCATTAGCGTTTTCCCCTGGCTCCCATGACCCACCTTGATGAAGGAGTATAGAGACTTTCCATAGAGTCTCTTGAAGTTTGCCCGGATGTCCAACATATCAATCTCCGCTCGAGAAACCATCACTCTGATAAGGGTGTCATCATCGGTGCCCAAGCCCTAAGGAAGAAACCAGATCACTGCATAGAGAGCTGAGCTGGTTTTCAGACAGGGCCCTTCGTTAGGCTATCAAGGCAAGACTATGTATCAGTCTTCCATTGACATCCTTTGGACTACAACCTTAGGGGCCTGTGGAATATCACTCCTCCTCACAGAGCTCAAGGCTTTCTCCAACTTATCTTTCTAACCCTCTGTGTGCTGACCAGAGGAGACCACCCTCTGCCCTTCTAGAGACATATCTGTGTTCTCCAGCCTGCCTGCCTCACCTACAGTGATCCACCCACCTTCCCTTCACAGCTTCACCATCCTTCCTACCATGTAAAATCCTCTGATATAAAACTTCCTTTAAGGTTCTGCTTAAATATACCAGTTTCTTATAAATTCGTTTTTGATCCTCACCCCCAAACAAGCGTTTTTTAAAATACCCTTTCCTTTGTGTCCTTATGATATTTGGATCTTCAGTGACTGTCTTACATTCTGTTTTGTTCTTATGGTGTTTTGCACATACCTGCCTTCCTGTCTAGAAGTCCTGCCTTCCTGTCAAGGCTAGAAGTTCTCTGAGAGCAAGGACAGATTTTGATCTCTCTTGCCCCTCAGCAAGAGTGCTTGCACAGAGTACCATTCATGGTTAGGAGCTGGGGCTCTGAAGCCCGTCTGCCAGTGTTGGCATTCCTGCTCCATTAGGACCCTGAGCAAATTGCTTAGCCTCTTTATGCCTCAGTTTTCTCAACTATAAAATGGAAGTTGGTAATGGTACTTGCCCCACAGAGCTGTTGTGGGGATAAAATCATACATATAAAGCATTAGGAAGAGTGATCACACATTATATAAGTACTCAATACATATTATCTAGCATTGTAATTAGCAAGCACTCGGTGAAGTATTTGAAGAATTGAACTGAATAGCTCAAGCTGATTTTGGCTACTTTGTGTGGGGTATGTAAATAAGCATATGAAGGTGGACATATAAGACCCTCAGAGCCATTCAGATGCCAACAACGAGGTCATTTACCTTCATGGATTTATAAAGCCTTTCAGCAAAATATGCAGATTTGTTCCTCATGCACTTTACTGTCAAGAGATTAAAAAAAGAAATGAAAAACTTACAGATAAAATCTACGAGAAAAAAGTGACAGTTGTTCCCATTGTTTCTACAAGGTCTGAAATAGTATCTCTTGATGGTTTTGTTGGAAAAATGTAGTCAACAATGTTTTATGAGCATAGGCTATGCTAAATGCATTTTCACAGGTGGAAAGTACCCTCAATTTATTGTCAAGTTCCTGAAGAGATACTTAATAAAGGCCATTAAAGCAAAGGCACCAAAAAATTTCAAACAGATTATTGTTATCTGTACCATATGAAATAGTTTATTAGTTCTAACCATTCACAGACTTGCAAGAAGCAGCTAGTATAGGATTAACCTTCCCATGTACTGAGATATAAAGGCACGAAGGATATAAAAATATATAAAGCCACATGGTACAATAACAATCAGGCTGTATATAGTATTTCTCACTTAAAATTCTGGTTCGCACATCATGAGTGCTTTTAAAAAATTTTTATCCCTGAAAAAAAATTTCTACAACCCATGATGACAAATTGAGAACAAGAAGGAAAGCCTGTGAAGATTTGTTTCTCCACTCCCCACTCCCTACCAGCTTACCTATGGCCAGCAAAGCATCTTCAAAGTTGCCAGATGTTTCAGATTTAATACTCTGCTCAATATCCTTTTGTGCTATCCTTTTGTATTCATCAAACACTACAAACAATAACAAAATGAAATTATAAAAAATAAAAAAAAGAACAGAGGAAACGAAAATGTTTAAGAGAACGAGCATTTTTAACTAGACTATACTGGTTATTCTCCAGCATTTTTCAAGAGGAAACTAGTTAGCAATGTGGGTGAGAACCAGGGTGCCTATGACAAGTGGAACGGGCCAGAGATGTGGAAGGAATGTTGTGAATCTTGGAAGATGTAAGGCAAGTCATTTTCCTTCTGTGGGACTCTGTTTTCACCACATAAAGTGGAGATTACCTCTGGAGAGATACACTTTCTTAGCAGAATGTGTCTCTTCTTTAATTTTTGCCTTGGTAATCACCTGTATATTCATCTTCCTTTCAGCTCATCAAAACTAGAGCAATTCCTATATACAATACAATAGTCAAGATATGGAAGCACCTAAATGTTCATCAACAAGTGAATGGATAAAGATGTGCTATATATAAATACACACACACACACACACACACACACATGCACACACAATAGAATATTACTCAGCCATCAAAAAGAATGAAATAATGCCATTTGCAGCAACATGGATGGACATAGAGATTATCATACTAAGTGAAGTCAGAGAAAAACAAATATTATATGATATCACTTATAAGTGGAATCTAACAAAATGATACAAATAAACTTATTTATACAATAGGTGCAGATTCAAACATATAGAAAGCAAACTTACGGTTACTAAAAGGGAAAATGTAGGGGAGGGAAAAATTAGGAGTTTTGGATTAGCAGATAAAAACTACTATATATAAAATAGATAAACAACAATATCCTACTATAGAGCACAGGGAACTATATTTGGTATCTTGTAATAACCTATAAAGGAAAAGAATCTGAAGAAGAATATATACACGTGTACACATACACATAACTGAATCACTGCTGTAAAGTGGAAAGTAACACAACATTGTAAATCGACTATATTTTTTTCAAAAAATTAGAGCAATCCAACTTTTTCTAAACTTGGTCACATTTGATAATATCTGGTTGCATCTTTTAATAGACTTTAACATAACTAAAAATTCTCTCCTTAACAAATATTTTTAAATGTTAAGGATCTTCCCAGGTGTCTCAGTGGTAAAGAATCCACCTACCAATGCATGAGACGTGGGTTCAATCCCTGAGTAGGGAAGATTCCCTGGAGGAGGAAATGGCAACCCACTCCAGTATTCTTGCCAGGAAAATCCCATGGATGGAGGGGCCTGGTGGACTGCAGTCCATGGGGTTGCAAAGAGCCAGACACAACTGAGCAATGAAGCACGCACACACACTTTAAAATGTTATGTACATATTTTCCTCTCTTGCTGCCTCCTCCAGAGCCTACTTAGGGTGTGTATCTGTTTTATCTTCTTAACACTGCTTTCTTTGGAATGCTATCCCACAACCCCATCAGTCATTCTCACAGGACTGTCAAACCAGGGACACTCCTTTCACTGAACATATACCATAAGCTCTAACAACTGAGTGAGCAGTTCATTCAGCTAGGACCAATCAGCCTTACTCTCCTGGATATTTTTTGACTGAGCAGACCACGAGGATGGCTAAAAGCACAGTAATTTTTAACCTCAGAGAATGTAAGCATCACCTGGGAAACCCGTTAAACTACTTGGGTGTCACTCTCAGAAATTCTAAATCAGCCTATCTGAAGTAGAGGTTCAAGAATCAGCATTTTAATTTTATATTTACTTATTTTTGGCTGTACTGGGTTTTGGTTGCTGCACCTGGGCTTTCTCGCGTTGCAGTGAGGGGGAGTTATTCTCTAGTTGCAGGGCTCGGACTTCTCACTGCGGTGGCTTTTCTTGCTGCGGGGAGCACAGGATCCAGGGTGTGCCAGCTCAGCAGGTGTGACACACGGGCTTAGCTGCTCTATGGTATGTGGAATCTCCCCAGACCAGGGATGGAACCCATGTCCCCTGCATTGGTAGGTGGATTCGTGGACCACCAGGGAAATCCAAGAATCAGCATTTTTAATGAAAACCCGATTTTCGAAAACTGCCTTAGAAATAAATCCATGACTCCCTTCTACTGAGATTTCCCAAAACTGCCTTGATTTCTAGTATTTTTAGAGCTGTTCAGCTCTATTCAGTACAGTAGACTGCTAGTATTTTCCATTTCTTTTTTATCCCATTCTGTATTGTCTCTTTTCCTATGTAATTACTTAATGTGTATCACTTGGAATTAAAAAATCCAGTTGACACATTTTCTAAACCTTAGTTTTCTCTACTCTAAAATGGGGAAAAGAAGAGAAGCGAAAGGCAAAAGAGAAAAGGAAAGATATATCCATCTGAATGCAGAGTTGCAAAGAACATCAAGGAGAGATAAGAAAGCCTTCCTCAGTGATCAATGCAAATAAATAGAGGAAAAGAATAGAATGGGAAAGACTAGAGATCTCTTCAAGAAATTAGAGATACTAACAGAACATTTCTTGCAAAGATAGGCACAATAACAGACAGAAATGGCATGTACCTAACAGAAGCAGAAGATATTAAGAAGAGGTGGCAAAGAATACACAGAACTATACAAAAAAGATCTTCATGACCCAGATAATCACGATGGTGTGATCAATCACCTAGAGCCAAACATCCTGGAAAGCGAAATCAAGTGGGCCTTAGAAAGCATCACTCTGAACAAAGCTAGTGGAGGTGATGGAATTCCAGTTGAGCTATTTCAAATCCTAAAAGATGATGCTGTGAAAGTGTTGCACTCAATATGTCAGCAAATTTGGAAAACTCAGTAGTGGCCACAGGACTGGAAAAGGTCAGTTTTCATTCCAATCCCAAAGAAAGGCAATGCCAAAGAATGATCAAACTACTGCACAATTGCACTCATCTCACATGCTAGCTTTCCTTGTGGCTCAGCTGGTAGAGAATCCTCCTGCGATGCAGGAGACCTGGGTTCGATCACCCCTGGGTTAGGAAGATCCCCTGGAGAAGGAAAAGGCTACCCAATCCAGTATTCTGGCCTAGAGAATTACATGAACTGCATAATCCATGGGGTCGCAAAGAGTCAGACACGACTGAGTGACTTTCACTTTTCTTTCTTTCACATGCTAGCAAAGTAATGCTCAAAATTCCCCAAGCCAGGCTTCAACAGTACATGAAGTGTGAAATTTCAGAGGTTCAAGCTGGATTTAGAAAAGGCAGAGGAACCAGAGATCAAATTGCCAACATCCGTTGGATCATCAAAAAAGCAAGAGAGTTCCAGAAAAACATAACTGATGCTTTTGAACTGTGGTGTTGGAGAAGACTCTTGAGAGTCCCTTGGACTGCAAGGAGATCCAACCAGTCCATCCTAAGGGAAATCAGTCCTGGATATTCATTGGAAGGACTGATGCTGAAGCTGAAAATCCAATACTTTGGCCACGTGATGCAGAGAATTGACTCATTGAAAAAGACCCTGATGCTGGGAAAGACTGAAGGCGGGAGGAGAAGGGGACGATGGATGATGGCATCACTGACCCAGTGGACATGAGTTTGAGTAAACTCCAGGAGTTGTTGATGGACAGGGAAGCCTGGTGTGCTGCAGTCCATGGGGTCGCAAAGAGTTGGACATGACTGAGCGACTGAACTGAACTGAAAATGGGGAAAATAATGTCCGCTTTCATTGTTATGTTGCAACAAACAATACTTATAATATACTAAGCACTGCACCTGGAAGATAGAGAATTAACAAAATTTTAGTTATTATGAATCCTCACTATTGTTGGTTGGTAAGAAAACTATGATGTTTGTTTAAATAATGCTTAAAAGATTTTCTTCCAGTGGCTTACAAGCACAAGTTACACTACTGACTTGTGCCTAGAAGCGAAAATTGTTAAAAATATATTAATATTTGCATTAAATCCACTTCTGAGGACATGCAGTTTCTGAAAAGCATCACCAGGGGGAGATGTGCTTTATTAATAATCAGGCAAGGGAAGGCAAAAAAATAGGGAGCTGAATCAGAAGTTGGTGCATCTGATGATGCTTGTGTGCTCAGTCGTGTCTGACTCTTTGCAACCCCATGGACTGTAGCATGCCAGGCTCCTCTGTCTGTGAAGATTCACTAGGCAAGAATACTGGAGTGGGTTGTCATTCCCTTCTCCAGAGCATCTTCCTGACCCAGGAATTGAACCTGGGTCTCCTACATTGGCGGGTGGATTCTTTCTGAGCCACCTGGGAAGCCCTGCATCTGATGATAGTTCATGACATTTAATAACTGGAATAATCACTTACTGTCAGTGTGGAATACCTGAAATAATTGCAACTTTCAAATATATTGTAATTTTCAATTATTTTTTAAAGTTTTCAATTTAGCAAACTCTTTCGCCTCAAATTTCTCACCAGTTTTGTAAACTGTGAATGATTATAAGGGCATGGTGAGTTTATAAAATTAGGATATAGCATAAAGACCTAGAGAGCTTATATAAAACATGAAATATCTTACTAAACCTTTATCACTGTTTACAGGAAGAAAATAAACCAGACAACAAATATTCTACAACTGTATAGTGCCTTTTCCCCAAAGAACTCAAAAGTACATTACAAAGACTAGCATTATCAGAAGCAAAACAAACTTTACACATAGGAAATAAAATTTGAAATTATCCATTCTTCATCTTATGCAACAAACCCCCTAAAGATATCACTTCTATTAGCTTTTACAACTTGGATGTTAAACAGGAATAAATGTCAACCAATATTTCTATTTTAATACTTGCTGATATACTAAAGATTTTGCCTTATATAACTAAATTTAAATAGAGCTACTTTAGGAAAAAAGATTGACGATGGAAGTGGGTGAAAGTGAAGTTGCTCAGTCATGTCCGACTCTCTGTGACCCTGTGGACTGTAGCCTACCAGGCTTCTTGGTCCATGGGATTTTCCAAGGAAGAGTACTGGAGTGGGATGCCATTTCCTTCTCCAGACCATGGAAGTGAGTTTCCTGCAAACAGGAGTGCCAAACCTCTATGAACATATCTGCTGCTGCTGCTGCTGCTGCTGATGCTGCTATGTCGCTTCAGTCGTGTCCAACTCTGTGCAACCCCAAAGACGGCAGCCCACCAGGCTCCCCCGTCCCTGGGATTCTCCAGGCAGGAATACTGGAGTGGGTTGCCATTTCCTTCTCCAGAACATATCTGCTAATTACTCATAATTAATCTTCCAGCAATTGACTCTCATGCATATCATTGCACTCAACAGTTCTCAAGCTAAGACATTTAAGACAGTTCAGTACAATTAGTAAAGTACTTTACACCAAGTAAAGGAAAAAAGGTTATCAGTTATGGGTAATATTTTCACTATCTTTCAAATAGTTTCTTTAGGAAAAAAAAAAAGCAAGTGCCTTACCATGCAACAGATGATTTCGATTCCGAGAACAGAGAACAGTTAGAAATTTCACCTCATCTGTCCCCCATTTCTTCTCTCCAGCCTCATACAGGTCCTGAAGCCAAACAAAGCACGAGTTTAAAACACAACAGAGAAGGTGCCAGAACATCTGTAAATACTTCCAGAACTTCAAAGAGCGGGAGTTGGCTTAGTTCTGTTTTCCTGGTGACGGGGGTGGAAGTGGGGTTGGCAGCGAGTGGAAATGACTCAGGAGTTTTCCTTAGGTATAAGACTAATGGAACTCTATGCTATCTCCGGGAGAGTCACGGCAAACATGCCGACTTCGTGGTTTGTCTTAAGAACCAAAAGGAATGCTTAGACCTGGGCTGTTCCATATGGTAGCCACTCACTACATGTGGCTATCTGACTTTTAATTAACTACAGAGAATTTAAAATTCAACCCCCCAGCCATACTAGCCACACGTCAAGTGCTCAATGGGCACATGTGGCTTAGTGGTCACCCATCCTAGACTCAGAAGGCGTAGAACATTTTCAACATTAAAGATAGGTCTATGGGACACCACCACTCTAGAACGACCTGTGGTTTACTTCTCTCTAGTGGCACGTGGCTTCTCTCCCCACTGTTCATTTATAACCAGCAGCTGGCTTGTTAAATTTCTCAAAATACCCTTCACTGATACATTTTGTCACTCCTTGGGCTCACCTCCATCTACTCAGCTGTTTCTTCACTTCCCTCTCTACTGCCACATGATTAAAGAGTCAGTTCTCAGGACCATGGAATTGTACCATTTTACAGTTGATTTACAATGTTGTGTTAATTTCAGGTGTTTAGCAAAATGAATCAGTTATACATATATACACTCTTTTCTAGATTCTTTTTCCCATACAGAGGACTGCGGAATTTAATTTTTATTTATTTATTTATTTTGGACTGTGGAATTTTAAAGCTGGGAGGATACAAAAGGTTTATCTAATTCAGTGTTTCTCAAATCTGATTCTCAGCAGCCTTGTGAGTGCTTCAATCAGTAAAGTACAGTGGCAGTGACACTGATTTCTGAGGCTAGGTCATAAAGCTCAGGCAGCTTTGGTTCTCATGGAATGCTGGCTTTCTAGGTGGTCCCTCTTGAAAGGCAGCCACCATGCTCTGGGAAGCCCATGCCACCTGAAGAGGCCACAGGTATGAGACCCTTTTGAAGCCTGAGGTGAGCCCCGTGTTCATAGCCCAGACACCAGACACAGTGATGGAGACTCCTACCCCCAGCCGTTTGAGCCACCTCTAGCTGTTCAAGTCTTCCCAGCTAAGACCTCTGACATTATAAGCTTGAGGGAGTTCTTACACAGCGATTGTAACTAGAACATGAGGGCAAACAAGGAACCTTCCATCTATCACAGAATGATACTTTTGTAAAATACCAGAAAAACTAAATTGAAAAGGGTGAAGTTTTAGTTATGGGTAGAAAATGGTATCTTTTTGTGTTAGTTTTTTAAATAACTAGTGAGGTTGGTCATTTTTTGGTGTATTTGCCATTTCTATTTTTTTTTTTTTTCTGAGTTGCCTGTTAATGTCCAATGTCTTTTTTTTTTTTTTTAAAGAAATGGGGCATTCTTATTCAGAACAAATATGAGTAAGTTTCAATAACAGTATTGAAACAGTAGTTTACTTATATATTTTCATATTAAGCTTACTATACATAGGGTGAAATTTCTCCCCATTCTATCATTTGATCTTTAATTTTGTTTGTGGTATTGTTTGGTAAAACAATTCTTTCTTTTTAAAATTTAGCCAAACTACCAATCCTTTTCCTTTATGGCTTCTATCTTAAAAGAAAATGCATACAAAATCCTTTTCCAGTTCCAGATTTAAAAGAGAATATTTAACTTTTTTATACTACCTTTATGGCTTACTTTATTTATGCTAAAAATTTAAATCTATTTGGAATTTATTATGCTGTCAGGTGAAAGTTGGGATCTAACTTTATTGTTTCTCAAACGGTTAGCCAATTTTTCCAACTCCACTGAGTAACCTGTGCTTTCTTCACTGACTTGAAATGCATATATTCTGTATATATTCCTGTATATTCTCACATAGGCTTGGTTCTGCTCTTAGACTTTCTAATTATTCCATTGACTTCTCCCTATCTTACACCAGGACCACATGCTTTAATTCATTTGTACATTTATTATACATTTAACTATATATTAGGGCAAGTCTGTCCATACCCTTCTTGTTGAGATTCTAATCCCCACTGTCTTTCCTCTATAGTCCTCATCTTATGTCATTGTTTTGTCTTTTTTTTCCCCTGAAAATTGGAGGTATTTTCAGCATTGCCTTCGACAACAATAACTGTTTTGTGCAGTGTCATTTCTGATCAGTGCTGCTTCTAATAAACATTTATTCTGTCTTTCCTTGTTTCATTTTAGAATATTTATTTATTTTTGACTGCATCGGGTCTTAGTGGTGACACACGGGCTCTAGAGCACAAGGGTCAATAGTTGCGGTGCTCGGGTTTAGTTGCCCCTCGGCATGAGGGATTTTAGTTTCCCACGGGGACTGAACCCGAGTCCCCAGCATTGGAAGGCAGATTCTTAACCACTGGATCGCCAGGGAAGTCTCCTTTCCTTGTTTCTAAGAACACTTCCCCTCCGCTCATCTAGCCTTCTCTTTATCTCTGCTTGCCTTCATGCAGTTCCATTTTCAGCTCCATTATTTTCTCATTGCATTTTTTTTTTTAAATCTCTTGTTTAGGTAATTAAAACCTGTCATTCTCTTACGTATGTCAGGATCCAGAGCGATCTGAAATCTGTCTCTTCCTTAAAGTGAGCCCCTGTTTGCCTCCCTTTGGGCCCCAGTTTCTTCATGGGTCACATAGTATTTGAGTTGAGATTAGTGGATGTGCATGATCTTTGATCTTGAAATGATAAACAGTTTATCCAGACCTGGTTTTCTCCACACAACACGGTGCAATGGATTCTTCTTTGAGCTCCTCACTTTTCATCTGGATGAATTTCAATCAGGAGGACTTGCTGCAGGTCCAGTGGAGGCGGCTGAGACACAGCCCAAGTCTTCCCTGAGGAGTTTCTCCATTTGCAGGAAGCCACTCTATTTCCATCGGGGGCAGAGTGTGTGTGTGTGTGTGAACTTCTTTTCTGTGTGTGTGTGTGACTTGCTGCAGGTCCAGCGGAGGAGGCTGAGACACAGCCCAAGTCTTCCCTGAGGAGTTTCTCCATTTGCAGGAAGCCACTCTATTTCCATCGAGGGCAGAGTGTGTGTGTGTGTGTGTGTGTGTGTGAACTTCTTTTCTGGGGCAGCAATGACTCTCCGGCATCCTTGGCCCAGCTTTGCTGCCCATCTGGCACGGTTTCCAGTTTTGATGCAGATTTTTCTCTATTTTTGTATTTCCCGGTTTGTTTTTCAAAGGGAATCAAATATGTGCCATATTCTAACAAAAGCTCTGAAGGGCATTTTCAATGTGCTTTTAATACATTATGAATTTCTTTTTCAAGTAGGAATTCTGAACACTACCTGTTATTTCCTTGGGTGCAGTTTTCATCTCAAGAATAGATAAAATTGGATATTTAGCTTCTCTATATTTTAAATTTTCTACCTTTGATAATAAATTACTACCTAATTTCCTCTGTCCTGATAATTCTTTTCAATCACAAACTAATTTACTTGCCTCAAAATCCAGTTCCATAATACCCAAAGTCTGCAAATGGCCCTTTGCTGATGCACCTTTAAGAACAAAGGCTGACCAGATTTTCCTCTTGTTTTATTTTGGAAGAAGAGTGGAAACCTTGGAGAGTGGTTCTTAAATTCTTTGTTTCTTTGTAAGACTTGGAGGATACAGAAAAATGAGTTCTAGTCCTTCCAGCTTCCCCCAGCCCATATTTGTTGTTAAGCACATTTTCACCTGGTCACTTACAAGGAGAACTATGCTCCTTGAAGGACTCCCAAATATTTGTTAAATTGCATGGTTTTGTTGTGTTTTTTAAAAATTAGGTACAATTGACATATAACATTATGTTAACTTCAGGTGCAGAACATAATGATTTGTTATTTGTATACACTGTGAAATGACCCCTCCCCACAATGAGTCTAGTTACCATCTGGCACCATATATAATTATAAAGTATTTTTTCTTATGATAAGGACTCTTAAGATCTATTCTCTTTGGAACTTTCAAGTATGCAATATAGCATTATTGTTTTTTAACACAATTTTATTTATTTACTTTTGGCAGCACTGTGCAGCATGCAGGATCTTAGCTCCCTGACCAGGGATCAAACTTGTGCCTGCTGCAGTGAAAGTAGTCTTAACCACTGGGCTGCCAGGGAAGTCCCTAGTATTATTAACTGTAGTTACTATGCTGTACATTACACCCTCATGACTTATTTATAACAGAGTCTGTACTTTTTGACCTCCTTCACCCATTTTGCCCACCTCCACCCCTGCCTCTGGCAACCACCAGTCTGCTCTCTGTATCTATAAGCTTGTTTTTTCCTTGGTTGTTGTTTGTTTGTTTCAATTCCACATATAAGTGAGATCATATAGTATTTGTCCTTCTCTTTCTGGCTTATTTCAGGTAGCATAAAGCCCTCTAGATCCATCCACATTTTTGCACATTTTAAGATTTCACTGTTTTTATGGCTAGAGAGCATTCTTCTATTCATATATATGACAATTTCTTTCATTCATCTATTGATGGGTACTTAGGTTGCTTCTATTTCTTGGCTATTGTAAATAATACTTCTGTGAATAAGGGGGTACATATGTCTTTTTGAGTTAGTGTTTTCATTTTTGAGGGGCAGATAGCAGAAGTGAAATCACTGGATCATGAAGTAGTTCTATTTTTATTTTGTTTGAGGAAACTCCATACTGTTTTCCATAGTGGCTGTACCAATTTACATTCCCACCAACAGTGAATGAAGATTGCCTATTCTTCACGTCCTTGCAAACACTTGCTGTTTATTGTGTTTTTGATGACAGCCATTCTGACAGGAGTGAAGTGATATCTCATTGTGGTTTTGACTTGCATTTCTCTGATTACTAGTGATGCTGAGCATCATTTCATGTGTCTGTTGGACATCTGGATGTCTTTGGAAACATGTCTATTCAGATCTTCTGCCCATTTTAAAACTGCATTGTTTGGTTACTTCTATTAAGTTGTACAGGTTCTTTTTATATTTTAGATATTGACTTTTTATCAGATATATGATTTGCAAATATTTTCTCTCATTGAATGGGTTGCCTTTTCATTTTGTTGATGCTTGCTTTTGCTGTACAGAAGCTTTTTAGTTTGATACCATCCTACTTGTTTATTTTTACTTTTGTTGCTTTAGCTTTCAGCGTCAGATTAAAAAAATCATTGCTAAGACCCATATAAGGCAGCTTATCACATATGTTTTCTTCTAGGAACTTTATGGTTTCAGGTCTTACTTTGAAGTCATTAATTCATTTTGAGTGAATTGTTTGTTATGTATGGAGTAAGGTAGTCGGTTCTGGTTCATTCTTTTGCTTAGGGCTATTCAGTTTTCCCAACAAAATTTATTGAAAAGACTATCTTTTGTATATTCTTGGCTCCTTTTTCATAAGTTAATTGACCATACATGTGTAGGTTTATTTATCAAATTTCTCTTCTATTCCATTGATCTGTACATCTATTTTAATGCCAATACCATACTCTTGATTACTGTAGCTTTGTAATATGAATTGCATGGTTTTAAAAAATCATACAGACCTAGAGTCAAAGAGCCCAATTCCACCAGTTATGTAAACTTATACAAGTTATATAAATCTGAGAATCAGTCTCCTAGTCTATAAAACAGAAGTAGTATCTACTTCACAGATTTATTATAAGGAAAAAAATGTAAAGTAGTTAGCACAATGCCTAGCACCTGGCAAGCCCACAAAAAAAGTGACAGTGGATATAATGTTTCAGGAATAAACTGCTCACTAACTCTTCATTTAAATTCAGGATTCAGGATAAGAAAGTTGTGGTACATATAGACAATGGAGTATTACTCAGCCATTAAAAAGAATGTATTTGAATCAGTTCTAATGAGGTGGATGAAACTGGAGCCTATTCTACAGAGTAAAGTAAGTCAGAAAGAAAAACACCAATACAATGTACTAACACATATATATGGAATTCAGAAAGATGGTAAAGATGACCCTATATGCGAGACAGAAAAAGGGACACAGATGTAAAGAACAATCTTTTGGACTCTGTGGGAGAAGGCGAGGGTGGGATGCTCTGAGAGGATAGCACTGAAACATGTATATTATCATATGTGAAACAGCTCGCCAGTCCAGGTTCGATGCATGAGACAGGGTGGATGCTCAGGGCTGGTGCACTGGGATGACCCTGAGGGATGGGATGGGGAGGGAGGTGGGAGGAGGGTTCAGGATGGGGAACACATGTACACCCATGGAGGATTCATGTCAATGTATGGCAAAAACCACTACAATATTGTAAAGTAATCTGCCTCCAATTAAAATAAATAAATTTAAAAAACTAAATTCAGGATTCACCTGGGCTAAGGAGGTTCCTTCCAGTATGCCCCCAAATGTTCTCCTAGAGGTAGCTGAAATGCACATAAGCATCTGAGAGTTTTAATACCTTCTCCTTCCTTGAAGCTTCTGGATTGAAGGCAATTTCCTGTATCTCCTTATGGGATGGGCCTCCCTGAGTCTTCAGAACTCTTAGGATTTATATACTTCTTTCACTTCTAGTGAAAGAAAAAGGTTCTTTCCTACACAATCCTGAGTGCTTCATTGTTGTTCAGTTGTTAAATTGTGTCTGACTCTTTGTGACCCCATGAAGTGTAGTATGTCAGGTTCATCTCTTCTCCACTATCTCCTGGAGTTTGCTAAAATTCAGGTCCATTGAGTCAGTGATGTAATCTAACCATCTCATCCTCTGCTCCTCATCCTGAATGGGACAAATCTCTCTCTAAGGTCATATACTGGTTAACAAAGTCTAGATCCAAATTGCATAGGTTCAAATCCCGGTTCTGTCATTTATTATCTGTGGGAACTTGAGCAAGATATTGACTTCTCTGAGCCTCAATTTCCTTGTCCATAACATGGGAACAGCAATACTTAGTTCATAGGGTTATTATAAGGAACCAATGACACACTTCATATAAAGAGTTTAGAACAGTGTTTGGCCCCTGGTAAGGACAAAACCAGATCCTTACTAGATTTTATTAGTTATTATTTTTAGTTTCTCTGGTCACAGTGAAAACACCATTAGTTGGTTTCAGGGCAGCCATCAGTGGGCTGGATACCAGGGAAGCAACTGCCTCTTAGGGTTTGGTATTAGTTTTACCCATTTTACACAGGTTGTATTAAATGTTCTCTTTGGGGAAGTAAAAATGTGAGGTCAACAAAGCATAGGCAGGTCCCTTTATCACCTAGTGATTCAGAAGACGCTCTGTGATTCTGTGGGGGCAGCCACACCATGGTCCCAATGTTAGAAAATCTGGAACCCAGGGATGCTTATATACTGATGCCCCAAACCAGGCCCAAGCCCCAGGTATCTCTGCAAGAAACTTCTGCTATTAAAGGCACCTGTGGGGATCTTTTTTCATAACAAATCCCAGCCTGACCAATATTCATTGAAATATAAGAAGATGTCCACCAACTGGGCCTGTATCATCAGCAAAAGAGAAGAAAGAAGCTTCAGTTCTACTCACCTGGGCATCCTGTCTCACGAGAGCATCATCCAGATAGTTGCTTTCATCCCTGCCTCCCTGAGGATGAGAAAAACAAACCACAGAGACTGAGAGAGGATCCAAGAAGATCTGGGTGCCCTGTTAAGACAGAATGTCTGGGAACCCAAGGACAGGGTAATTAGACAGAAGTGGCATGAATGCAGCTTAGGGAGAAAGGACAGATGTCCTCAAGTGTGTTTACGTTACGTCCATGGCTCTGATCTGATCAAACAGAGGGTAAGCATGGTGTGGCTCCCTGATATTGTGTGGGTGTCTCTGACAGTTGAAGGGGCAGGAGGACAAATATGGCCTGGTGAGTTCTCTTCCCAGGACCATAACCCCCTTTTTCCTCCCCTTCCTCCACTCCTATGTCTTCCCAGCTAACTGACTTATGTCTCCCTAACTGGCAACTTTATGCTGATCAACACTGCCACATAGGAGCTGGGGAAAGAGGAGAATCAAGAGACTCTGGGGCCAACTGTGGGGGCCTGAGGAGCACCCCAAGTGCCCTGTCCCTCACCAACACAAGGAGGGCAGGACTGAAGGGTAGAGGAATGCCCAAGTGTGGCAAAATGGACTACTTTTCTCTGGTTTGTTACACGATTTTAGCTCTAGGCTATTCCAACATGCTACAATCTAGGCATGGCTCTGCAGTGGTAAATCTGGGAGGAAAAGAAAAAGTGGGTAGGAAGTAAGAAAAGCAGGCTGGTTGGGACTTCCCTGGTGGTCCAGTGGTTAAGAATCTGCCTTCCAAAGCAGGGGACTCAGGTTCGATCCCTGGTTGGGGAACTAAGGTCCCACATGCTGTGAAGCATCTAAGCTCGAGTGCCACAACTACTGAGCCTGTGTCCTCCAGGCCCCGTGCCACACCTAGGGAAGCCCGCACACCGCAGCCAGAGAAGACGGCATGCCGCAGCAAAGAGCCCCACACCACAAAGAAGACCTGGCACAGCCAAAGCAAAAAAAATAAAATAAAATGAAGAGAAAAGCAGGCTGGCATGATTACGTAAACATCAGAGACACAGCAAAGTGGGAGTTGGAGATGCTTTCCAGGCTTCCGCTTTGGTTGTTGGAGAAACAGAAACAATAGTAATAGAACAAGATGAGGGAGGAAAAAGAGTTGGTTTGGAGGCAAAATGAGTTCAAGTTTAGTTTAGGAGGACTGGGTGGACAGAGGGAGGTGATGGCAGAATATCCACAAGGGAACAGCGAAAAGGCAGTGAGAAATGAGAGTCTCACACTCTGGAAGGTCAGGCCTAAAGATAAAATTGTGAAGTGGTGTGAAATGTTTGTAAATCCATCTTTCTTTTCTGGCATCCCTGCCCCGACACTGGCCCAGACCTGCTTTTTTCATGATATCTGGAATACCAAGGTAACCTCCTGCCTGGGCTCCCCCCTCCAGTTCAATTCATTGGACACACCGCTATCACATTACTCTTCTAAGACGTTCGAATCACATCACTCTACTGCTCCAAAACCTTCAGAGGCTCCCCACAGCCCTCCAAAAAAAAAGCACAAACTCTCCCCAACATGGGACCCCAGTTCATTTTCCGGCTCAGCCAACTGTTTCCTGAACCCGCTCTGTGTTTCCTGACTCCTTGTCTTGTCCTCACTGTTCTTCCTGCCTGGAATATACCCACACACACCTGTGCCTCTTGAAATTCCAGCAACCCTCCTGGTCCTCTCTCAGCCAGCACCTCTGCCATGAAGCCTTTTCTTTGTTTCTGCAACCAAAATCTCTCCTTGAACCTTTCTTCTACTCTGTGCCTCTTTTTTGGCACATACTTTCATGCTTTTATTAGAGCAACACATGGGCCTGCTAGATCACCTTCTGACAATATAAATTCTTAAAGCCCAGGACTGCCTTTTAACCACATTTCTAACTTTCAATGAGTAACGATTGTCTGGCATATATTAAGTACTTGTATGTATAAATGAGAAAAAAATGAAGATGCAAGATTAGCTAGAGTCTTTAAGGGAGAGCATATAAAACAACAGAGAGGCTTCAGAAAAACACAGGGAAAAATTCCCATTTGGGAGGTTGAAAGACTGAGAAAGGCTGGAAGAGCAGGTAGAGAGTGAACGTCTCAGTAAACCACCCCCCACCCCCATCAAAGGTGGGAGCGACTCACGGCGGACAGAGACACCAGCACGCGCTGGAACATGAACGACGTGTCAGAGCGAATGTCATCTTCAAGGCTCCGCCCATATTCTAGCAAGAGAGTCAAATTAGTGACATCAAAGTGAAGATCCCTGCCCAAACCCAGGTCACACCCCAGAGTCTTCCATCCTCTCCTGGACCAGCCTGATTACTGAAGCAGCACATCGTAAGGTTCTTCAGCCCATACACAGCTGATGAAAAACTAAAGTCTTGGTAAAATGGTCAAGATAAGTTGATGGTTAGAGCAGAAGATAAATGATTAGAGCAGAAACAAGATGCTCTTGTTGCTTAAATTGGGGGTTGAGAAGGCGGGGCTCCACTGTGGTTCCTACTGTCTAGGGACCTGTCCTGAATGTGGTTTGCAGTGACATGCAGAACAGGTTAAGCAGCACGAGGAAAGGCAAACCGCGTGGAGGCTCTGAACCTGTGTTTGGGGACAAGCGGCGGGCTGTCCACAGGGAGACCACAGGAGTCAGCGCTAGAACCAGACTCCCAGGTTTCGAATCTCCAGCTCTGAACCTCTACCAAAACACTCTTACTGTTTTGCTTTCTTTCTACCGAACTGTACATTTATTACAGAAAACTTAGGAAAAAACGAAATGAGTTAAATGAAGTGGTGGGGGGGAGGCAGGGAACAAAACCTCATCTAATCACCCAGAAATAATAATCATTGATCACATTTTGGTGAGTATCCTTCTTCATTTTCCCCACATGACTTATTATTTTTGTTTCTTTAAGAAATGGGATCACAATATCTCATTTTATGATTTGTCTTTTCCCCTTATCCATATAACATACCACTCATTGTAATTTAATTATATCCTCTGATATACATTTTGATGATTATGTTGTATGGATGTGCCATATTTTGTTTAGCCACTCTGTTGGACATTTTAAGCTAATATAGATGACACTGTGGGATCTGAACCTTTGGACATTTTTTATTATATTCTTAGGTCAAAAAGGCATGCCTCTTTTAAAGGCTCCTCATACGTACTGTCCTCTGGAGATTTTTAAGAGAGGAGTATTGCCACTGAGCGACTGAACTGAACTGAACTGACTGCACTGAAGGTGGTTGCAGGACCTACAGCCTAATCTGAAGGTAAGAAGTTGAGGAGACTGCTCCGCCAGGTCAGTCCCTGGAATGCTAAGATTCAGTGGTGCCGCCACATTTGAATAAACACCTTTGATTCTCTGCTTGATACTAAAGACCAGCTTTCCAGCTTTCAGGGTAATAAACACTTCATTGCATAGCCTAAGAAGAGTGGCAGGTACACCTGAGAAGTCTCGAAAGCCAACAGTCATTTGGATAAACAGGGATCTGCCTGAGAGCGGAGCTTGTAGCTGAGGCTCCCTCGTGGTCAGTGTTTCAGTGGGTAACCTCCCACTTCCAGTCTAGTTCTCAGAGGACAGGGCCTCCACCAAGGCCTCTGAGGATGCTACATACGCAGCTGGTAGGTCTGGTTTATGCGCCGGATCTCCTCAGGCGTCCGGGAGGCCAGGATCTCAATCAAGCAGCCCTCATCTGTGCCAGCTCCCTAAATGTAAAAGCCAGAGGACAGGGCGTTATGAGTCAGGTTACCAAGTTGAGTCCCAGACACAGGAGGAATACAACCAGAAATCTACAGAGAATAAAGGCAACTCACCTAGTTCCAGCAATAGGATTTGCCCATTTTTAACTTTCCTATCCAGATTCCAACATGTTTATTGGTCATAACAAACATTTCACGGGCTGTTTCTGGGTGTTGGTTAGGAATAGCTTACATCCTCTGCGGCTTTTATCTTGCCTTGGTCTCCCCTGTGCTTTTCCTTTGAAGGACAGAATCTTCTTCTGGCAAAGGCTGTTATCTCTGTTTCCCAGTGACTAGCCCAGAACCTTCCATGAGCCTGAGTGTTCATTGACGTGAGGGAGGAGGGTAGTCATAGCTGAATTTTGTACTTGGTCGCTAAAACTAGGCAGAGCCTGGCGTAGGGCACAGTGGCTCCAGCATCTTGGAAGGCTGAGAACTCTTGACAGGTTCTGAGCTTACAGCAGACCAAGAGGCCCTCACAGTGTCAGGCAAAAGTTCCATTTCTCAAAAAAGGAGCTAATATGGCAATAAATTGTCTGGAGTTACACCGCAAGCACAAGTATAATCACTCCACAGTGGGCCACTGGGAAGAAAGAATTTCTTCACTTTGGGGGAAACAACTTTGAAGTTACAGTTGCTAGATTGTAATGTCCTGTTTTCAAGTTGTCTTAAATGAAGGAAAATCCTTCCCCCATACCCTCCTCCTCCACGCTCTCAGGCCTCTGTCATGGCTTCTTGAGAAAGCCCGGCAGTGGTCCTCCTTTGCACCCCCAGCCCCAAGAGCAGGAGGAGAGGAGCACAAACCTTCATCGCCTTTTGCAGCTCCTGCACATCGTACAGCACCGTGGGCGTCATCATCCCCAGGATCACCTGCTCAAACCTGCCACTCAGCTCCGACTTCAGGTCGTCCATCAGGTCCTGAGACAAAGGAAGTGCTCCGCTTAACTGCTCCAGTAACAGGAAGCAGCCGCCCTCGGTGAGGTCCAGGGATGGCTGAGATCTCCAAGACCCTCTCAGGGGGCTCACGTCCTCGAAACCCTCTTCATAAGAACACTAAGACGTTGGGATCTGACATTACACCCTCATCCCCTCCCAGCTGTCCCATGGAGCTTTCCAAAGGCTGCTCAGCATGTCTACAGATCCACAGTTATGTGAAAAGGCTATGAAAATACTCCTCCCCTTCCCAACTGTACAAGACCAAGTTTTCTTCCTACTGTAGCCAACACCAGGTATCGCAACAAGGTGAATGCAGAAGCACATATGAGAATCCAGTTGTCTTGCATTCAGCAGACATTAGTGAGATTTGAAAATGTAAAACAAAGCCAATCTTCTCACAACTATTTTTTTGTTTTGGAAAATAAAGCTATTTTTCCTGAAATTGTTATTTTTGCTAGCATGCAATGAGTTTTTATTGTTTTTAAAATAAGTTAACAAATACTTAGTTTTAAATATCCTCGGTGTTAATTTCTAATACGGTCAATATTAATAGATGCAACCAGCAAAAACAAAAAAAGTCTTCAATAATTTAAGAATGAAAGGGGCCCCAAGATCAGTGTGTTTGCTCACTTATGAACACACCCTGAATATATTTCCAAGTCAGTATCTACCTACAATATTTTTAACAGCTGCAGAAATTTCTATATGTGGATGTAATATAATTTATTTTATCAATGCCCTGTTTCTATTTTTCTACTATTCTTCTAAATAGGCATTTAGTTGCATTCTTGTAATCATTCATGATTAATTCTTAAGGCTCAATTGTCAAAAAGAAATGTAATAATTACTTGGACAAAGGACCAAATTCTAAAGACGTTTAGTCACATTTCCTCTTACAGGTCAGAGAGTTTAAGAACCTGCTTAAGATCAGCTAGCTAGTAAGGAGGCGATTTGCTTTCAAGTTCAGATCACAGATTCTCACAAACCTGAGTCCAAAACACTGTATTTTAATCTATTGTACCTATTTTTATGTTAATCCACATACATCAAACAGATGAATGAACAAATAAATTAGCATTCAGTCAATCTGTTAAGGTTGCTCATCTTAACAAACTGCTGTCAGATCAGCTTAGTTCTGAAGCTGAATAAATCAACCCCAAATATGTAGCCACACTTTAGCTCACACACCACAAGCATGTTCATTAAACTTCTTTGGGGAATCAGGAGATTTTAAAATGCCCAGAAGATAGTCCAAGCAACCTGATGGATAGAATCTTGTTTTCTGCTGGTGCCCAGCCAAGGTTGGCATGTAGATGCTCCCTGGAAGAACTGAGCCAGGCCCGTCCTGCCCAGCAGCTTAATGCCTGTCTTTGGGAAGCAGCCTCATCTGACTAGCTTTTATAAATTATCTAGGAACAGAAATACTTATCATGGAGTTAACAGCACCTGAGACCTGGAGGCACTCACTGATAACGTTTACTCAATAAAAAGATTGTCTAGTCACACAGATAGGCCTTCAGTGATATGAAAAAACCAGGTGAATGACTCTGGTAAGTGAGCTGTTGGAAATGAAACTGAGACAGGGTTCCTCGGGGGTGTGGGATTCAAAGCAGAAGGGGAAACATGGTGAGTGAACCAGTTCGGAATGCACAAGCCAGTAAAATGCACACACATACACACACACACACACACACACACACACAGAACTCCATTCTATAACTGGTGGGGGTGGCTCTCTATTGAGGGTCATTCAAAGGAATGAATATATGCCACAAATCGGTTCACATAGAAGAGTCAGAATAGACCCTAAATCCTAGGAGAGCCTATTTAGAACAACAAACTGGATTTAATATTTTAATCGGTTTGGAGGATCTTCGTTCACAAGTGGCCAAAGGAAGCCACCAGGTTGAGGGAAGGAGCATGGGAAGCAGAGCCCTGCCTGGTGCTTCAGAGCAGGGTGGGGGCAGTGAGTCTATTCCACAACTAAGTCCCTGCGAGAAATTGTGTGTGAAGAGACTAAACTTAGCCTTGAGCTTTGTGAACCAAGAGCTCTGTGAAATCACTTCTGGCTACGGACAGTGGAGGAACTATAGGACGTGTTGAAGCTGTTCATTTGTTTTCAAGAATATCTTTAAACAAGGCAAGGGATCCACCTTTTAAAAACAAATGGCTGGGCTTCCCCGGTGGCTTGGTGGTAAAGAATCTGCCTGCCAGCGCAGGAGACACGGTTTCTATCCCTGGTGCAGGAAGATCCCATACACTGAGGAGCAAATGAGCCCATGCGCCACAGCATTGAGCCTGTGTTCTAGAGCCCCAGAACCGTAACTACTGAAGCCTGGGTGCTCTAGAGCCTGTGCTCCAAAATAGGAAAAGCCGCTGCAGTGAGAAGCACAACTAGAGAGAAGCCCTCCTTGCCGCAACTACAGAAAAGTCCACACAGCAACGATGACCCAGCACAGCCAAAAACAAAAATATAAAATTGTTTTTAAAAAATCCAAAACAAAGGGCCACTACTTCAGGGATCAAGTAGGAAGGGGTCCCTGCTTCCCTGTTGCCTGACAGATCCCTTGTCAAGGCGGAGAGCACAGGCCTACCCTGCCGATGGTGGTCTTGTAGGCTGTCCGGATTTCCTGGCGCTGGGCCGTGCTGCGATAGGCCAGGACGTTGATGATGGCATCTTCATCTGTGCCTGGTGGAGAGGAGACAGGGAGGGAGTGCGATTTGAGCAAGGAATGAGAAAGTGGATTCCTCTGCGGACACTGGCATAACCCTAACACACACAGAGAGCTTTCTAAGCAAAGAAGTCCTTATTCGGAGTGTTTGTCTATTTTGAAGGGAAACAGACACTAGATTTAGTTATATGTTGTTGTTTTTTAGTTGCAAAGTCATGTCCAACTCTTTCACGACCTTATGCACTGTAGCCCGCCAGGCTTCTCTGTCCAAGGAATTTTCCAGGCAAGAATACTGGAGTGGGTTGCCATTTCCTCCTCTAGGGGATCTTTCTGACCCAGGGATCAATCCCTTGTCTCTTGCATCTCCTGCACTGGCAGGTGGATTCTTTACCACTGAGCCACCAGGGAAGCCCCACTAGTTATTTACCACTAGATAAAAGAGTCAAGGTCTCTGAGCAATAGTTTCCTTATCTACAAACGTGCATGATCACAGTACTTTCCTACTAGGGCTGCTGCAAGTGTTAAATAAAACAAATTAGTGCATTACTTAGCACAATGCCCAGTGCTTGCTAAATAGTCAGTACATGTTGACCAGGATCACCCGTTTCCCCTTCTCTGGAATTCTTCTCAGAGTCTTTGGATCACCCATATTTATTATCCATGTTCTTACCTTTCGCTCTTCACTTCAATCTCTTTATTATCTCCTCTGAGTTTTGAAACAGTTCAAATTAATTTTCAAAATTCACCATTTGGCACTTCATAGGGTTTAAATTGGCGGCTGATAGGATCTACTTCTTTTTAAGATCTGTAACTGTGTTTTTCTTTTCCAGGCTCTCTTTCCTGATCTCTGATTAGAAAACTATTTAACTTTATTAAAAGTTTTCATTTGAGTGACTCTTATGGTAGACTATTTCTTATCTTTTGGAAATGTTCACAACAAATAAAAATAGAATTTTGTGTTATTTCCTAAAAGAAAATAAAAGCCATTTGAACTTTTTGTTCTTGCAAATGTCACAGTGTGTGTGTGTGCTCAGTTGTTCAGTCATGTCCGACTCTTTGTGACCCCATGGACTGTAGCCTGTCAGGGTCCTCTGTCCATGGGATTTTCCAGGCAAGAATACTGGAGTAGGCTGCCATTTCCTCCTCCAAGAGATCTTCTCAACCCAGGGATCAAACCCTCGTCTCTTGCATCTCCTGCATTGGCAGGCAAATTCTTTACCACTGAGAGCCACCTGGGAAGCCCTGTGTAAATGTTATAGAAACCAACTCATTTTCCTTTTTTTCCATTATGGTTTATCACAGGATATTCAATATAGTTCTCTATGTTATACATTAGGGCCTTGCTGTTTATCCATTCTGAATGCAATACTTTTTTGCATCTACCAACCCCAAACTTCCAATCCATCTCTCCCTGCCTCCTCCTTGGCAACCATAAGTCTGTTCTCTATGTCTTCAAGTATGTTTTGCAGATAGGTTCATTTGTGCCATATTTTAGATTCCACATATAACTGATATGTTACTTGTCTTTCTTTTTCTGACTTATTTCACTTAGTTAATTTCCAGTTGCATCCATGTTGCAGAAAATGGCATTATTTTGTTCATTTTATGGCTGAGCAATATTCCACCGTATATATGTACCGCATCTTCTTTATTGATGCAAAACTTTTTACAACCGCCCATGAATTCCCATGATGCATTATCCTACCAAACTTTTTCATTATGAATTCAAATTTAAAATGTCATAAATTTTGTTTGTTTTTTTGCAGCAGCTTTTACAACAAGACTTTATTCTGACCCTTCAAATTGGCCCCTCATCTTAGTCACACCTGGATGTTCATATATGTTGGGTGAGTGTTCAATTTTTTATTGTTTACACTATATGGGGAGTTATGATGAGTTACAGAGGAGAGTCTATTTAAATATTTCAGGGAGAAATGGAAAATACATACATTCTTTGCAAAATTAAAGATCTACAAAAATGTGAGCTGTAGAGACGAAACTACAGAATTTTAAGTTTACATACCTTAGGAATCTACTCTCTGTTCTTTTTTTTTAAAACAAAGAGGATAATAGATACAACCTCAGATATGCAGATAATACCACCCTTATGGCAGAAAGCAAAGAAGAACTTAAGAGCTTCTTGATGAAAGTGAAAGAGGAAAGTGAAAAAGTTGGCTTAAAACTCAACATTCAGAAAACTAAGATCATGGCATCTGGTCCCATCACTTCATGGGAAATAGATGGGGAAACAATGGAAACAGTGACAGATTTTATTTTTGGGGGTTCTAAAATCATTGCAGATGGTGACTGCAGCCATGAAATTAAAAGATGCTTGTTCCTTGGAAGAAAAGCCATGATCAACCTAAATAGCATATTACAAAGCAAAGACATTACTTTGCCAACAAAGGTCTGTCTAGTCAAAGCTATGGTTTTTCCAGTAGTCATGTATGGATGTGAGAGTTGGACTATAAAGAAAACTGAGCGCTGGAAAATTGATGCTTTTGAATTGTGGTGTTGGAGAAGACTCTTGAGAGCCCCTTGGACTGCAAGGAGATCCAACCAGTCAATCCTCAAGGAAATCAGTCCTGAATATTCATTGGAAGGACTGATGCTGAAGCTGAAACTCCAATACTTTGGCCACCTGATGTGAAGAACTGACTCAATGTAAAAGACCCTGATGCTGGGAAAGATTGAAGGTGGGAGGAGAAGGGGATGACAGAGGATGAGATGGTTGGATGGCATCACTGACTTGATGGACACGAGTTTGAGTAAGCTCCGGGAGTTGATGATGGACAGGGAAGCCTGGTGTGCTGTAGTCCATGGGGTCACAAAGAGTCGGTCACGACTGAACTGAACTGAATAGATACAACCATCCTTTTTCCAGAACTCTCTTTCAGCTGAGGGGGGGGGGGGGGGGGGAGAAAGTTCATCACCTTTTGCTTTTTCACCCCATTTCTGTGAAAGGCACCACCGTCTGGTCTGTTAGACTTGAACCCTCAAAATAACTTTGATTATTTAAACTGCTCTCTTCCTTCACATTCAGAGTTCTTGAATATGCAAAATCTAGCTCTAAAATCCTTTTTGCATCTGTCCCTTCTTTTTAATTCCTACCACGACCACTCCAGTTCAGGATTTCTTCTTAGATAACTATAAAGTTTACCACTAGTAGTCTTACCTCCTAATTGGTCTTTCCAAAGTCCTGCCAGATTCATTTTCCTAAAAGGAGAAATTCTCACAGTGTCTTTCCTCTGCTTAGGATACATGATGGCTCCCCACCATCTGTTGGATTTAGTACCAGCACTGGAGTCTGGCCTTTGGGACCCTCAATAGCACCCCATTCACTATTGTAAATATCCACATAAAAGGATACACGCAGCCAAATCCAGAGACTTTGCTCCTGAATTCCTGTACTTGACCTGACTATACTGTACTCTGTTCTCCTAACCTCCTTACTATACCAATCTATGGGATATGTCTCCCTAACCCCCTCCATCTAGCATCCTGATTCTGGCATTTGTTGTTTGCTGGACTATGCCTCTGGGTCAGCCTCCATGTCAGCAGTACCCTAGGACGCCTCTGTGGCTCCTGCCTTCCCGGAAGTGTCCTAATCAGCCAACACCTATTTTGCCAGTACATTCCTGCCGCAGGCCATGTATTTATCTTGACTCCCGGAGGCCTCAGCTAAAATGCAAAACGGGGCGATGCTCACTTTCATTCCATGCTTTGCTCATGCTGCTCCATTCACCTGAAACACATTCTCTCTGTCTATTTATTGAATAAACTCATCTCCCAAGGCCCATCTCAATTTCTATATCCTCCAAGAAGTTTTGCCTGATGCCCCTAAATGAAATGTGATCCCTCTGACTCCTAATGGGATCTTGTGCCCCTCCGTCCTTATCATATTACTAACTGATCGCATTTCCATGAATGCCTTTGCCGCCGAGCATCCCTGGATGATTGGACCACAGGATTAGGTTTATGGTCCTTGTCTCCTCTGACTGTCTTTCTCTCATTGGCCCACACAGCAGGCACTGAAAACGGTTGGTGGTATCAAATGCCTCCTGACTCTGAGAATTCCAAATGCCATGTGGTCTGTGTTCCAAATTACAGTGCTCTTGCTATCCACCAAAGAATTAGGATACACCGGAAAAATGAGTAGGCCAAGTACTTTTTCCATTTTATTTATGAAAAGAGGAAAATGAGAAGATAAATTCAAGGCAATGTCCTATTCAGAGATAGGCAGCAGGATAGTACAGAGGCTTACCCTCCAGTTCTAGAGTCAGAATGCCTGGACTTGCCTAGACTCCTGACTCTAACAAACACATCCTGCCCCAGAGACCTTTGGCAAGTTAACTGATCTCAGTAAACCTCAACTTTCTCATTAATAAAACAAGCTGCTGTCAAAATTAAAACATAATCTATGCAACACATTGTGCCTGACACATAGTAGAGCTTAATAATGGTTATTGTTGCTGCTAGTTGTATTGGGGCTGAGCAAGATGAATTCTTTGTGGATAGAAAAACTGGGAAATAATGCCTCATGGTCAAATGTCTTTATTCAAATCTTAAGGAGATTTTAAATAGCAGGTATGAAACAGAGAGCACTTCTCAGGCCAAATGTCCACTCAGGCAAGTCTGGAGGGAGGCTCTAGGTCAGTGGAACCCGAAGTGCCCAGGCATGGCTATGTCCAGCTGGAGGGAGGTCTTGGCCCTGGGGAGCTCCCAGAGGTTGGTGCACTGGAAGACAAGCCCTTCTGGTCACATACACACAACTTTCTCACATAAAGTCGTACACACTGCCCGGGGGCACTGTCCTAGCCACAGCTGTCACAGGAGCCAAGAACAGGGGTCTGACTCAAGGGAAAGAATGTGTACTTAGAGTTGGCAGGCCCCAGCTTAAGAAGGGCTCTTTGAGCGTGACTCAAGGCTCAGCTCCACTTACTCTGCATCTTATTACATAACTTCTCTGAGTCTCAGTTTCCCATCTGTAAAATGGGGCAAGAATAACAGCTGCACCAGCTGCTCTCATTGTATCACGGGATTATGGTATCTACCCATTCACATAATATTTGTCAAAATGCTTTGTTAACCTTCTGGCACAACATGCATGCCTGGGTTAACTAGAAGACAAATATATTTCTCAAATTTGATAGATTTATTAATGCTGGAATGAAATTAATTGGGGAAGTCCAGAATGAGTTCATCACATTTAAAAGTCTATAGTAAAAAACCCTCCCTTCCAGTTTGCCTTGAAAAGTCACCTTGTCCCCACCGTGTTTTCTTAGAGTGAGACATACGTTTGCTTGTGGACACAACGCCCTCTGGGCAACTCTGGGATGCGGGACACACAGGGGAGTTCACCGCCAGTGGGACACTTACCGAGCCCTTTCATGGCCTTCCTCAGGGTCTGGGCATCTTCGGCAGCATTGAAGCCCGAAGTGGCTTTGACAGTGCCTCCCTTGGCTGCCTGATGCAGAAAGAAAGACAGAAACGTGTGACCAAGAGGCGCCTTCCTGCCAGCATGGTGGCAACTCGCACAACAAACGTTTGTTGAGTACCCACCAGGGGTCAGACACTTGTCCGGGGGTGGGGACACAGCAGAGACTGGGAGAGATGAGGCTCTTGTTCCCTTGCGGCTGATGTTCAAGTTCAGCCAGAGGTAGACAGTAAAGAAGCCAATAAACAAATACTCCACCAGGCAGCCGGAGGTGAAAAGGGCTACAGGGCAGAGAGAGTCATGAGGGGCTGCCCCGAGGAGTGGCATTCAGGCTGAGGTCTGACTGCAGGAAGCAACTGACCCTGCAGAGATCTGGGGGAAAGTGTTGCAGGCAGAGGTAACAGCTGAGGCAATGGCCCCGAGGCTGGAGCTGGCTTCTGAGGGACAAGTGGGAACAGAGGTCAGTGGGACTCGACTTGGAGGGCAAGCTGGGGAGGGGTAAGGTAAGTGACACCATTACCTTTGAAGTAATCTTGTCTCCCCAGAAAGTGGGAAATCAAACCTGAATCCAATCAAATCTCTTAGGTCAAACACCAATTTATAATAAAGAAGAGAAGGAGGAAAATGTTAGCCCACACAACAGGGCTGTCATCAGCATAATCCAGACTATGAGAAACACTACTTGATGAATGCTCTAGGTTCTTTAACAAATTGCCAGAAGAATTAGAAAAGAGAGAAATGGAGGGGAAATATAACTTGAAAGATTAAAATAATCATAATGGGTAAACCTTATTGGGATCCTGAATCAAATAGTAAAAAAAAAAAAAAAAAAAGAAATGACATTTATGAGGCAACTGGAAAATTTTTTTTAAGTAAGCTGGATGCTTTTATATTATTTGCCTATTTGAATTTGTTCCTTTTTTATAACGGCACTTAGGGTATCAAATTTAGACCACTTTGCTCCTTTTCCAAGAAAGGGAGGGAAATAGATACCACCTTACATAAAAGTGGGGTGATGAATGCAGAGGGGCAGTTGGTTCCAGAGGCCTTCGTTCCAATGCTGCCAACCACACGTAACAGAACCTGCTGCTGCTGCCGTTCGGCTGCTCTGCTGTGACTCTGTGACCCCATGGACCGCAGCCCGCCAGGTTCCTCTGTCCGTGGGGTTTCCCAGGCAAGAACAGTGGAGTGGGTTGCCATTCCCTTCTCCAGGGAATTTTCCTGACCCAGGGATTGAACCCATGTCTCCTGCACTGGCAGGAGGATTCTTTACCACTGAGCCATCTGGGAAGCCCTGAACATGGACTTGATATTTGATGCCATTAAGCAACTCATGTTAACATTTTTAGGTATGATAATGTCTTTGTGCTTATATTCTATTTTTTGGGGAGTCGAATCTTATACACATTGAAAGAGTTTACAGATGAGAGGATAAGGTGATTGGAATTTGCTGCAAAATTACAGGTTAGGGGAAGTGGAGACACAGAAGAAACAGGTTGACCATGGATGAATAGTAATAATAATATAATATTATTAACATATATGAGTTATGATTATATAATAATTATTGACCATGAGTTAATAATAATTATAGGTACAAAGGGGTTCTTTTTACTATTTGATCTGCTTTTGTATGTGTTTACACTTTTCCATAATAAAATAAGAGACATGACGAGGGCAGAATGAGAGCCTTCACAAGCTGGTGAGAAGCGAAAGGTGTTAGTGGCTCAGATGTGTCTAACTCTTTGTGACTCCATGGATGGTAGCTCAGCAGGTTCCTCTGTCCATGGGATTTTCCAGACAGGAATACTAGAGTGGGTTGCCATTTCCTTCTCCAGGGGATCTTCCTGATCCAGGGATTAAACCCGGGTGTTCCGCCCTGCAGACAGACTCTTTACCATCTGAGCTACGAAGGGAGCACACAAGTTGGTGAGGATTTTCTATTTTATTCTAAATATGTTATGAGCCACTGGCAGGTCTGATTTACACATTTGAAAGATCACTTGGGCTACTGTATAGAGATACAGAGATCAGTTTAGAATCTGGGCCAAGATCCAGGGATGTGATGGTAAACGAGGGTGAAATAGCAAAAATGGACACAGACAGACTCAGCACATGTTTTGGAGGAAAGGAGGCAGAACTTGATGATGGATTGATGTGGGAGGTGAGGAAAGAAAAGCAGCAAGTGTAACTCTAAATCATTTCCTTAAACAGCCAAGTAGAGAGTGGTATCATTTATGTAGATGGGGAAAGCTGGAGACTACCAGATTTGAGATGGCAGTGAGGAGAGGGATTTAGAAGTTCTATTTTCAAAACGTTAAGTTTGGGATGTTCGTTAAACATCCAAGTAGAGTCTAGAAAATGGTTGGTTGTACAAAGTACATCTAGAGAGCAAGTCTCCAGTAATACACTCAGGACACATCAGCGTTTGGATGGTAGCGGACAAAATGACCTGGGGAGAAACTGAAGAACAGGGGTCCTAGGACAAGCCTAGACCTCTCTAGCAGCATAGGGTTAGCAGAGAAGGACCCGAATGGATGGCCAAGAAGGACTGGCCCTTGAGGGGCCAATAAAAGGAAAACCAGGACTGTGTGTTGTCCAGAGGCTGAGGAAGGAGGGAGAGGTCAGTGCCTGCTAAGGTAGGTATGAACAGAGGGCACAGAAAGGATGGTCAGATCTGGGAACATGGAAGGTCCTGGTGACCCTGACAAGAGCTTCAGCAGAGGAATGGAGGAGACAAAAGCCTGACAGTGTGGCAGAGGGAAGGAGGGGGCATCATGAGGAGGAGATAGCAGCTCTAGATACCGAAGGTGAGGACTAGCATCACCAGAAACCAGCATGCCTTAAAGTGAGACACACTCTGATGTGTACGAGGGATAAAAAGTTAGTAGAGACTAGTAGATTCTGCAAATACAGACTAAAAACTAAAAACGTCAACAAGCAAAACATGGGTTAGTGACCAGTAGGAACCATTTAATTGAATTCTGTCTTAGAGATGATGTACTGATTAAGATCAAGGTGCCCCGAGTACTTCTAATGTATTTACTAAATTATTAATTGATGTTAAAATTTTAACATCAATTAAAATTGATGTTATTTATAAGGACTTCCCAGATGGCACTATTGGTAAAGATCTTGCCTACCTATCAATGCAGGAGACATAAGAGATGCAGGTTCAATCCCTAGGTTGGGAAGATTCCCTGGAGGAGGAAATGGCAACCCACTCCAGTATTCTTGCCTGGGGAATCTCACAGAAAAGCCTGGTGGGCTCTAGTCCATGGGGGTCAAAAAGGGTCAGATATGACTGAAGTGACTTAGCATAATGTATGTGAGGCGGCATAGAGAAATACATACGATTCAATATAAAATAGATGAAAAAAATCAGTGAACGAACAAACCATAGAAAATTACAGTAAGTTGAGTTCAATTCAATCACTCAGTCATGTCCCACTCTTTGCGACCCCATGGACTAGAGCATGCCAGGCTTCCCTGTCCAGCACCAACTCTCAGAGCTTGCTCAAACTCATGTCCATTGAGTCGGGTATGCCATCCAACCATCTCATCCTCTGTCGTCCCTGTCTCCTTCCACTGTCAATCTTTTTCAGCATCAGGATCTTTTCTAATAAGTGGCTTCTTCGCATCGGTGGCCAAGTATTGGAGTTTCAGCTTCAGCATCAGTCCTTCCAATGAATATTCAGGACTGATTTCCTTGAGGATTGACTGGTTGGATCTCCTTGCAGTCCAAGGGACTCTCAAGAGTCTTCTCCAACACCACAATTCAAAAACATCAATTTTTCAGCGCTCAGGTTTCTTTATAGTCCAACTGTCACATCCATACATGACTACTGGAAAAACCATAGCTTTGACTAGACAGACCTTTGTTGGCAAAGTAATGTCTCTGCTTTTTAATATGTTATCTAGGTTGATCATGGCTTTTCTTCCAAGGAGTAAGCACCTTTTAATTTCATGGCTGCGGTCACCATCTGCAGTGATTTTGGAACCCCAAAAATAAAATCTGTCACTGTTTCCATTGTTTCCCCATCTATTTCCCATGAAGTGATGGGACCAGATGCCATGATCTTAGTTTTCTGAATGTTGAGTTTCAAGCCGACTTTTACTTTCCTCTTTCACTTTCATCAAGAGGCTCTTAAGTTCTTCTTTGCTTTCTGCCGTAAGTGTGGTGTCATCTGCATATCTGAGGTGATTGATATTTCTCCTGGCAATCTTGATTCCAGCTTGTGCTTCATCTAGCCCAGCATTTCTCATGATGTACTCTGCATAGAAGTTAAAAAGCAGGGTGACAAAATACAGCCTTGACATACTCCTTTTCCGATTTGGAACCAGTCTGTTGTTCCACGTCCAGTTCTAACTGTTGCTTCCTGACCTGCATACAGATATCTCAAGAGGCAGGTCAGGTGATCTGGCATTCCTATCTCTTTCAGAATTTTCCACAGTCTGTTGTGATGCACACATTCAAAGGCTTTGACATAATCAATAAAGCAGAAATAGATGTTTTTCTGGAACTCTTGCTTTTTCGAGGATCCAGTGGATGTTAGAAATTTGATCTGTGTTTCCTCTGCCTTTTCTAAAACCAGTTTGAACAATTGGAAGTTCACAGTTCAAATATTGCTGAAGCCTGGTTTGGAGAATTTTGAGCATTACTTTACTAGCGTGTGAAATGAGTGCAATTATGTGGTAGTTTGAACATTCTTTGGCATTGCCTTTCTTTGGGATTGGAATGAAAACTGACCTTTTCCAGTCCTGTGGCCACTACTCAGTTTTCCAAATTTGCTGGCATATTGAATGCAACACTTTCACAGCATCATCTTTTAGGATTTGAAATAGCTCAACTGGAATTCCATTACCTCCACTAGCTTTGTTCTGAGTGATGCTTCCTGAGGCCCACTTGACTTTGCATTCTAAGATATCTGGCTCTAGGTGATTGATCACACCATCATGATTATCTGGGTCATGAAGATCTTTTTTTGTATAGTTCTTCTGTGTATTCTTGCCACCTCTTCTTAATATCT